TCTCATTCAAGTCCCTCATGTGCAGCATTCTAATTATAGTGCACACAGGATTCGCGCTGGTGTGCTGCTGGCGAGAACCGCTATCGTTAGCCGCGTGCGAGGGAGGTCTCATTTTTCTGGCCATCAGTAAACAGCTGCCTTGTTCGCACACACAGACAAAGATCCCCCGTATTGCCTCAACGGACTGTTGGGGCAAGTGCTATTAGCGAGCACCTATGAAGGCCAGCAACGGCACACAAGAGTGGCCAGCACCATGCCCGACCGCCTTTGTCTCCCCAGTGACGATGTTTACATGCCATACCAGGTAGGGTACTCATTTGAGGCTGAGTCGATTTAGGGTAAGCCCAGGATCAGTTCAGATAATCGTCACTGGTGTTGACCATGAGCGGAAATCGAACTCGAGTCGTAGTGCAGCGCGCTAACCGCTGCACTACCCACCCACACCCAAAGATCACCCGTATAGCCTTAACAGACTGGAGCGGCAAGTGCTGCTAGCAAGCACCTATGAAGGCCAGAATGGCACACGAGGGGATGGGTAGCCAACACCACGCCCGGCCGTCTTTGTCTCCCTCGTGGCGATGTTTTTACGCACCGCACCAGGTACTCATTTGAGGCTGAGTCGACCTAGAGAAGGCCCAGAACCGGTCCAGGTAATCGTCACTCATGTTGGCCGTGAGCGGGAATCGAATCCAGGTCGCCAGGTTCGTAGCGCAGCGTGCTAACTGCTACACTGCCGCTCCCCGCACGCGGGCACACATGCACATGCCATCAGACCTCAGCTCGGTGAAGAATTGTTAAAAATCGGTTCGGCCGTTTACACGCATCACCAAAGATCATTAGCATATAACCGATAAGGGTCTGTGGAGCTGTAGTTGGCGTGTGTGTGTGTGAGAGAGAGAGATGGAAATCTTACAGCAACAGCCATTAATATAATTTGTTCTAGAAGTGTTGACAGTTACATGATGCCAATAAACGTGTAATTGATTTTAATTTTAATGATGTGCATTGCGGGTTTTCACACTTGGGTAAATATTCTCGTGAGGATGATTTCGGTAGGTGTTGCTTTCAAGGTCACGAATATTGCTTAGTTCATGCTGGGTTATTTTTTAAATGAAAGTCTTAAATGATGAAAACTTTTACACTTGCAATATCTGTTCCTCAGTGTGCTATTTTTAATGGCACTCAAAGTAAGTACTCACGCACATTTTTTTTAAACTACCAAACAATTAAAGATATACAGTGAGGGAAAAAAGTATTTGATCCCCTGCTGATATTGTACGTTTGCCCACTGACAAAGAAATTATCAGTCTATAATTTTAATGGTATGTTTATTTGAACAGTAAGAGACAGAATAACAACAACAAAATCCAGAAAAACGCATGTCAAAAATGTTATAAATTGATTTGCATTTTAATGAGGGAAATAAGTACTTGACCCCTCTGCAAAACATGACTTAGTACTTGGTGGCAAAATCCTTGTTGGCAATCACAGAGGTCAGACGTTTCTTGTAGTTGGCCACCAGGTTTGCACACATCTCAGGAGGGATTTTGTCCCACTCCTCTTTGCAGATCTTTTCCAAGTCATTAAGGTTTCGAGGCTGACGTTTGGCAACTCGAACCTTCAGCTCCCTCCACAGATTTTCTATGGGATTAAGGTCTGGAGACTGGCTAGGCCACTCCATGACCTTAATGTGCTTCTTATTGAGCCACTCCTTTGTTGCCTTGGCCGTGTGTTTTGGGTCATTGTCATACTGGAACTCCCATCCGCGACCCATTTTCAATGCCCTGGCTGAGGGAAGGAGGTTCTCACCCAAGAGTTGACGGTACATGGCCCCGTCCATCGTCCCTTTGATGTGGTGAAGTTGTCCTGTCCCCTTAACAGAAAACACCCCCAAAGCATAATGTTTCCACCTCCATGTTTGACGGTGGGGATGGTGTTCTTGGGGTCATAGGCAGCATTCCTCCTCCTCCAAACACGGCGAATTGCAGACATGATGCCTTGAATAAAGGTCAGTTTTCTGTGCCAGTTAAAAGGGTAAAACCTATTACTACTACGGCGAGTTGAGTTGATGCCAAAGAGCTCTATTTTGGGCTCATCTGACCACAACACTTTCACCTAGTTGTCCTCTGAATCATTCAGATGTTCATTGGCAAACTTCAGACGGGCATGTGTATGTGCTTTCTTGAGCAGGGGGACCTTGCGGGCGCTGCAGGATTTCAGTCCTTCACAGCGTAGTGTGTTTCCAATTGCTTTCTTGGTGACTATGGTCCCAGCTGCCTTGAGATCATTGACAAGATCCTCCCGTGTAGTTCTGGGCTGATTCCTCACTGTTCTCATGATCATTGCAACTCCACAAGGTGAGATCTTGCATGGAGCCCCAGGCCGAGGGAGATTGACTGTTCTTTTGTGTTTCTTCCATTTGCGAATAATCGCACCAACTGTTGTCACCTTCAAACCAAGCTGCTTGGCAATGGTCTTATAGCCCATTCCAGCCTTGTGTAGGTCTACAATCTTGTCCCTGACATCCTTGGAGAGCTCTTCGGTCTTGGCCATGGTGGAAAGTTTGGAATCTGATTGATTGATTGCTTCTGTGGACAGGTGTCTTTTATACAGGTAACAAGCTGAGATTAGGAGCATTCCCTTAAATAGTGTGCTCCTAATCTCAGCTCGTTACCTGTATAAAAGACACCTGGGAGCAAGAAATCTTTCTGATTGAGAGGGGGTCAAATACTTATTTCCCTTATTAAAATGCAAATCAATTTATAACATTTTTGACATGCGTTTTTCTGGATGTTTTTTTGTTATTCTGTCTCTCACTGTTCAAATAAACCTACCATTAAAATTATAGACTGATGATTTCTTTGTCAGTGGGCAAACGTACAAAATCAGCAGGGGATCAAATACTGTTTTCCCCCCACTGTATATTTTACACACAACTAATATCATACGCCATGTAAATGAAGCAACCATGAAGAGTTTGCCGGTTATTATAATTCCACGAATACGCCATAAACTTTAAACCTTGGTGTTGCACTAGGAAGCATCCTTCATTATTGTCACTCGCAAGCGCCGTAGCAGTGGCAGCGCGGAGAATCATCCCTTTCGTGAGATTGATTTCTGCGGTCCCCCCACCCCACCCCCTCCTTTGTTTTATCTGAATGAGATAATTACCCCCGATCGAGTCGGGTGGTCTCGGCGGTCCTCGGGTTGCTGGAAACACCTCGGCCTGTCAGGGCTTCACAGCCCACCACCACCTCTCTCTGCTCCCGGGGTAGTTTGGTTGCCGTGAAACACGCCCGGGCGGAGAAGAAGCGGCGAGGGTCGATGGGAGGGAGTGACCGCCCGCCACATCGGCGCCTTTGAAATATGGGATCGGAACGCTACTGTATGTAATGGATGGCCGGCGTGAACTCTCAAACCGAGCTCTATTTAATTTACTCCCTTAGCATCCAGCCCCCCACCTCCTCCTCCCCCCCCCCAAAAAAAAGGCAAACTATAAATGCGCACGCGCTAACGCACGCACACGCACGCGCTAACGCACGCACACGCACGCGCACACGCACGCGCTAACGCACGCGCTAACGCCCGCACGCACTATCATTAAACTGAATCACCCCTAATGGATAACATCGCCGGACGATTACACGATTTCCATCAGACAATTGGGCAACAACCAATTAATATACAGTGATAGATTTATTTATTTTTTTAGTGCCAGATACTCGCCTTGAAATTCAAGCCCAGAATAACAGATGAGCCTTCACGCGAGATCGGAAGAGTCGCAGTGAGTTGGGGGGGGAGGAGGGGGGGGGGTGTGAGCTCCAGGGGGTTGGACAGATTCCACTTGATGGATGCATTGTTGAAAAATGAAATGGTTCAACACTTACATGGTTCAGTAGTGTGAATGGAGCGCGATTCTGGTGGGGTAGTGGAGAGGGAGGCGTTGCTGGAAGGCTCTTAAAAAAAAGCTCGCCGTGAGAGAGGAGAGCCTTGGCTTCCAAAAACGGGCACCTTCTGCGTTCCAAGCTGCCGTGGTGCAGATGTGGTGAAAGGGGAGCGATTTGTGATTTCGAATCCCCCTTGTGTTGCCTTTTACATCCGCAGTGTAATTTCAGAATTGATTGTTATCGGATAGACGCGAAAGGTTTCATCTGATGAAGGAGTCCTTTATTGAAATGAAAATTGTCCAACGATGAGGGGGGGGGATGTTAATGTTTCCCTAAAAAGGTTATGGGAGGTTTGCAAATTGGAAAGGTGACATTTGTGGAGCAATAATTTTGGTGGAAATTGCATATTGTTAACATGACTTATAGCACTGTATTGTAATTGTTTTTTTTAAATTATTACTTGGCGTTATTTGTTACAGTAGAAATGGAACGTTATTTAGCATGGTGGTAATACAACAAAAGTTCAATGTTGTGCAACTCTTGCTTTCTTACGAAGTTTAGATTTAGAAGGTAAGGAATGATGTATATTATTTTTTGTCATCTATGTCATCAGTAAAATTTATAATTCTTGTTCTGAAAATTTCCGTCCGAAGTGTACGTGTGTGACTGCCACGTGCGGGTGTTGGCATCCGTGCACGGAGTCAAAAGTCCGTCAAACGTGTCTTTGTTCAAAAACTTTCAGGGTGCAACTCTCACTTTTAATGGTGGTCCCCGTGGCAGTGAAGGAAATTCCACATTGCCATGAAAAACCCACCGTGAACTTCTCGCAAAATATTACTCCTTTAATTTTTCTCCCGCGGAGGATGATGGGCCGAGTCAATTTCTAAACCTGGAATTGATCTCGCGGTTTTGAGGATGCCATTCGGGCACTCTCTCCGCCACAGCGCCGCCACCGACAGGTGAGAGGTGGTGAATGCCCCCGACAGGTGAGAGGTGGTGAATGCGTGTTTGATTCACCGTGATGCTTACTACAGTGACATATCATCTCTGTTGCGCTCGTGTGTGCGTGGGTGGGTGCGTGCGTGTTTGTGTGTTCCGTGCGGGCGCGTTCAGGACCCCGACCATGGCAGGAGGGCTGTTTGCCATCGACCGTGACTACTTTCAGGAGATTGGCACCTACGATCCTGGCATGGACATCTGGGGAGGAGAGAACCTTGAAATGTCTTTCAGGGTCAGTGGTTGCGCAACAGGCACTTTGTTTTCAAATGCACTCGGACAGTTTAAAAATTCACCTCACGGGCTGGGGGCCGGGGGGGAGGGGTTAACGCAGTAATTTGTACACATGAACAAATCTTTACTTCAATGGAACAAAGATAAAGTCACGTAGATATTATTTTGTTTTATTTTATCTACGTGACTTTACCGAATAAAACCAAAGAGTATGAATCCTTGCAGTCACGAAAGCTTCAAATCTAGAATGGAACGAAGATGTTGGCTTCAGATGGCTTTTATAAACGACGTGCGAAAGTGTCCACACTTACGCCGTATGCTTTCAGGTGTCCATCAGCGGAAAGTGCACTTGGCAGGTCTGATTTACGAAGAAGAAAAAGCAGCTAAGTTTGTTCATTTTATCTGGGCGTGGGCTGCAGCATTATTGGACTGCACAGCTGGTCAAGCGTAAAGCGAACGGAGTGGCATGCAAAGCCATTTCCCATCCCGCTTACAGTGTGGGTGTGTATGTGTGGGGAGCGGTAGTGTAGCGGTTAGCGCGCTGCGCTACGAACCCGTCGACCCGGGTTCGATTCCTGCTCACGGCCAACACCAATAACAATTATCTAAACTGGTCCTGGGCCTCCCCTAGGTCAACTCAGCCTCAGATATACACATAACCACTCGGTAGGCAAAGGTGGCCCGGCGTGGTGTCTGTGTGCTGTGCCGGCCTTCATAGGTACTCACTAACAGCACTTGCTCGTACATTCTGTTTAGGCTATATGGGGGGTCTTTGTAAATATATAAAAAAAAACAACTAAGTAGTTTCCACTTTAAATTGTTATTTGACAAAGAAGTTAATAACTTGGAGAAAAATTTATTTATTGTGAAGGAAACATGCTCATTAGTTTTTGGATAATGAGGTTAAAGATTCTCGAATTAAACGGACAAACAAGCACTTGAGTAAATTATACTTGAGCAGTCAACCTTAGAAAGTCCATTTGTACTCATTACTTACAGAATGGCGTGTATTGAAAGGTAATGTCTTTGTCAATATAAAAGAAAAACAACAGCAATGATCGGCTTGGAATTTACATGCTTTACATTATCTGCACATATATTCTCTACACTTCATTTGTATCTATGAAGCCAATTTGTACGTGGAGTAAAGCGGTCACTCAGTTGTTACCGCTCACGGCACTATTAATGGGACCGCAGCTCACATGAGGATAGAGCGACACTTATTCCGGTCTTGGGTCTCACCTTCACCAAAAGGCACTGACCAGTGTCATGAAATCGGGCTCGCCACCGCTGGCACTCTGGCACGCTGGCACGGGGAAGCCTTCATCCAGCGGTGGCTTGACAAAGGGGCCGTACATTAAACTAACAAAAACTATTTCTATTTTACCAGGTAAGGCCCACTGAGCTATGTAGCTTTTTTTTCCAGAAGTGACCTGACTGCAAATGATAGTTGAGCAAAAGAAGGCTCACCACGTGGAAATTATAGCAGCCAAATACTCTGAGCGTATGCTGATTCTAAATGCGGAGGGGAAAAAACTGGAAGACCCGTAAAAAAACACATGCATGCAATCACGATGAAAGAGAACACGCAAACTACAAATGTGCAGGCGTCGGGTTCGGATTCGAGCCCACGTCCTCCTGCGCGCCAGGCGGAGGAGATAACATCTCGCCACCGTGGCGAACGCGTGGACACTTGTTCGTGCGGCGGCGGCGGCGGCGGCGACGGGCGGCAGGCTGCCCCGCTCACGGTCACCGCAGCTTGGCCGAGCTCACGCTCCAGTGGCAGCGACACCGCGGCACGCCGAGCCAACCCTCGGCTGCTCTCCGTGGGCCGGGAGGGAGGCTGAAGGGCACGCAGGGACGTTGCGCCTGAAGCCTCGTCTTCTGCCACGCGCAGTGCGCAGCGGCGAGGGCGGTCGGGCTAGCGGCGAGCCCGACGACGCCCGCGGTCCCCCAGGTGTAGCGCGGAGAGCCGTGGAGTTTATAAAGCGCGGCACACTTGATTACGCTTTGCCTTCGCTGGTTGCCACTTGCCTTTACCAGAAATCCCTGGTTGTTTTCACGCAGGTAATTGCAAAGCCGCTCAAACCGCCTCCATGGGGATTTACCGTTTGCCCTTGAAAGTCATAGTATTTGTTTATCTGTTTTAATGTAAACCACCAATTCTTGGCTGCGCTTTTTTTTTTCTCTTGCATAGCGCTGCCTGAATGCATAACATCCGATTGTCATTCCTTCAGGCCGCTCCTTGAGTGGATGCTTCTAACGTGTCAGTGATCCACTCCCAACGTTGCCGCTGCATTGTTTCTGAGAGGGAAATTGACATTGCTTGCTTTTAAGCTGTCAGAAAGGGCTTCTCGCCTGCAGATTAAGACGGCAGCTCTTTGAAGGGAGGTATTTTTTATATATATGACAGGTTATGCAAAGAATCACTGCAGTTCACCGTTATTTGTTGCCCATATTCATTATACCTTAACCCAGGATACATTTAATTTCAGTCTCCTCGGGGAGTTACTCATGTGGTCCCAGCACTCTTGCGAAGCGAAGACACTGGTTTTGACTTGCGTAGTGAGAGAGAGCTGGGCCGGCGGTGGTTTGCGCACTGCGCTATAAACTCCCTGTCCTGACTTATTCCTGGCGAGGGCTTTAACACGAATGAGGAGTGATACAATCTTGATTTGAAGCTTTCGTGACAGCAGGAATCCATACTCTTTGGTTCTTTCGGTAATGCCACGTGGGTATAAAATAAAATAAAATTATTAAATTTAAAAAATATATATATATATTTTAATTTCATTTTATACCTACGTGACTTTACCGAAATAACCAAAGAGTATGAGGAGTGATACCTCAACCGGTGCTAAGTGTGGTGGTGAAGTATGGTCAAACAAACTCCCCCCCCCCCCCCCCACGGCATGGGGTGGCCCTGTTTTCCTTAAGTGGATGGATGATACGTTTTAAATGATACCGTGAATTAAGCGTACATCCCTTGTGTCAGTCGCTGCTACCGTCGGCCGGCTAGCTCTAAACACGTAACGTGCACGTGGAGAGTGGCAGTGGCCAGAGCCACGCAGCTCTGCGTCACCGTTCCTGTGGACCGCGGGAAACTCCTGGGGGGAGGGCGGCCGCTTCGTTCTTAATCCGGCGCCGATATGAAATAAAACGTTTTTTTGTTTGTTTTAGCCCAGATGGTAACTGCGTCTAACTTGCGGGACGGTTATTAATTTTTAATGCTGTTATGTTTCAGCGGAGTGAAAACAATGCTTTGAATTCGAGAGTGAAAAAAACACACACACACACAATCGAAATAAGGTCACCGTGAAGGTATTTGCGTTTGCCGCTTTTGCCACGTGATGGTCTTGCGCTCGCTCCCCGAGTCCGCTGATGGAGGTCTGCCCGGGGTTCAGGTTGCATGAGGCGGTATCCCCGGCGGTGGGGATTTCATTGCATATTGTTCTAAAACCGTTGAGGTTTAAAAAGGTCACAGACCAATTAAAATAAACCCTTTTTACTGCGGCAATGTTGCAGCGTTGAGTCAATGTTTATGGGCTGCTGTATCAGTCAATGAAGAATTCGATCAATAAGTGTTTATTTTAAAAGATCACCAGTTGCTTAAGGCAGGCCTTAAGGTAAAATACTGTATTGACTTGACATTTTGCAATTTACTTTTGCTTGTTGATACAATTAGTAGTTAAACTGTGCGTCGTAGGTTCTGAGAAGCAAAGAGAATTAAAAAGGTCAGTTTTTATTGAATCGCAGGTGTTTGCGAGTGCCCTTATAAAGAGGGTATTTATGCGCGGCTGTAATCTGATGCCGTTTTAAAAGTTGTGATTTTCAAAGTGACGTATTCGCCAAGTTATCTTTGCTGGTACGTGCAATGTGAGTTGTGCTGTGTGATCTAGCGGCTGTTGGCGAATGAGATGCTGGTATTGTTGCACAGGTGTTGGTAGACCTTGGGTTTTGAGTAAAAATGTGGATAATGCTCATGCCACCGTTTTCACAGGGTAGCTGGGGCTGGTCTAGAACTGGGTTTTTACACTTCTCGTGCCAAACAAATTACAGTGAAGGAAAAAAGTATTTGATCCCCTGCTGATTTTGTACGTTTGCCCACTGAGAAAGAAATGATCATTCTATAATTTTAATGGTAGGTTTATTTGAACAGTGAGAGACATAATAACAACAACAAAAATCCAGAAAAACGCATTTCAAAAATGTTATGAATTGATTTGCATTTTAATGAGGGAAATAAGTATTTGACCCCCTCTCAATCAGAAAGATTTCTGGCTCCCAGGTGTCTTTTATACAGGTAACGAGCTGAGATTAGGAGCACACTCTTAAAGGGAGTGCTCCTAATCTCAGCTTGTTACTTGTATAAAAGACACCTGTCCACAGAAGCAATCAATCAATCAGATTCCAAACTCTCCACCATGGCCAATACCAAAGAGCTCTCCAAGGATGTCAGGGACAAAATTGTAGACCTACACAAGGCTGGAATGGGCTACAAGACCATTGCCAAGCAGCTTGGTGAGAAGGTGACAACAGTTGGTGCGATTATTCGCAAATGGAAGAAACACAAAAGAACTGTCAATCTCCCTCGGCCTGGGGCTCCATGCAAGATCTCACCTCGTGGAGTTGCAATGATCATGAGAACGGTGAGGAATCAGCCAAGAACTACACGGGAGGATCTTGTCAATGATCTCAAGGCAGCTGGGACCATAGTCACCAAGAAAACAATTGGTAACACACTACGCCGTGAAGGACTGAAATCCTGCAGCGCCCGCAAGGTCCCCCTGCTCAAGAAAGCACATATACATGCCCGTCTGAAGTTTGCCAATGAACATCTGAATGATTCAGAGGACAACTAAGTGAAAGTGTTGTGGTCAGATGAGACCAAAATGGAGCTCTTTGGCATCAACTCAACTCGCCGTGTTTGGAGGAGGAGGAATGCTGCCTATGACCCCAAGAACACCATCCCCACCGTCACACATGGAGGTGGAAACATTATGCTTACACACCGCATCAAAGGGACGATGGACGGGGCCATGAACCTTCTTCCCTCAGCCAGGGCATTTAAAATGGGTCGTGGATGGGTATTCCAGCATGACAATGACCCAAAACACACGGCCAAGGCAACAAAGGAGTGGCTCAAGAAGAAGCACATTAAGGTCCTGGAGTGGCCTAGCCAGTCTCCAGACCTTAATCCCATAGAAAATCTGTGGAGGGAGCTGAAGGTTCAAGTTGTCAAACGTCAACATCGAAACCTTAATGACTTGGAGAAGATCTGCAAAGAGGAGTGGGACAAAATCCCTCCTGAGATGTGTGCAAACCTGATGGCCAACTACAAGAAACGTCTGACTTTCTGTGATTGCCAACAAGGGTTTTGCCACCAAATACTAAGTCATGTTTTGCAGAGGGGTCAAATACTTATTTCCCTCATTAAAATGCAAATCAATTTATAAGATTTTTGACATGCATTTTTCTGGATTTTGTTGTTGTTATTCTGTCTCTCACTGTTCAAACAAACCTACCATTAAAATTATAGACTGATAATTTCTTTGTCAGTGGGCAAACGTACAAAATCAGCAGGGGATCAAATACTTTTTTCTCTCACTGTAAGTGGTGTCTCTGTGTACGTTCTGATCTTTAAAGAACCGCTTTTATTTCCACAGTAGAGCTACTGGGAGAAAGACAGATATCCCATTTCATCCCCTTTGATCAAACTCTCACCCATTGCCAGCCCTCAATTTTCCCTTCATTGAATCGCGTCTTGAGCCGTGGTTGTATTGATGACACCACGTAAGCGAATCCGTGTTGTCTCCCTCTAACAACAATGACACATTGTTTTAACATTTGCCCCCAATTGAGTATTTGGCTGCTATAAATGTGCACGTGATAAGCCACTTCGTTGAGCTATCATTTGTGGGCAGGTCACTTCGAAAAAAGAATAGCTTAGAGGGCTTTACCTGGTAAGACAGACATTTTTTTTAGTTTGATTTGTATATATTTTCTGAGCGATTTGTTTACCTTTCTTATACTTTGCACTCCTATCGTGTTTTTGTATTGTTCGTTGTTTGTAACGTTCTGACCCGTCCCTACTGGGCATCTGTGGAAAAGAGCTTTATAGCTCATCAGATTCCTCCATTGGAAATACATGTTCTGATTCCGAAACAAAGTCGCCCTACTGGGTCGGTTCAAACTCCGCGTAGTCCTCTCACATACCCCCCCCGCCCCCCGCCTTTACGAGGAGACGGCGCTGTCTGCCCCCCCCCCCAACCCCCGACTATTACCACTCCGCATCTGGTCCCTGCCCGGTTTGTCGGTGACTCGGTGTCCAGATGCGTTTCACGTGCGGCCACTCTCTGAGTTGCTCCGTCCCCACCTCCCCCTCTCGTGGCAACACCACAAGAGGGTGTAGACGAGGATCCTGGGGGGTTGATTCCCATCTTGATAGACCGTGGCGTTCGCCCTCCCCCCCCTCACTGAGCTTTTATACGCTGCCTCCCTTTAAGCGAGGTCATGCCACGAGGGGGGGGGGGGTGCGTGCGTGCGTGTGGCGGCACAGATCTGGCAGTGTGGTGGCTCGCTGGAGATCGTCACGTGCTCGCACGTGGGTCACGTGTTCCGCAAGGCCACGCCGTACACCTTCCCCGGCGGCACGGGACAGGTGATCAACAAGAACAACCGGCGTCTGGCCGAGGTGTGGATGGACGAGTTCAAGGGGTTCTTTTACGTCATCTCTCCCGGTGAGACTCTTTTGATGGCGAATCCCGCGGGTGATTTCCCGCGTGTTCTTTCTCTCTTGTCTTCCGGTGAAGAGCTTCCACGGTTCATCGGATTCCTCCAGCATAAATAAAGATTCTGATTGTGGTGAATGTTAAATGCCTGCAAATGCCGGTCGTCGCTTTTTTTTTAAATCTATTTCAGAATGAGAGTAACCGTGTTGGCACGTAAGTATGTATTTGATCATTAGCTTAAGTCTTGAAAGGAATACGGTTATGTAATGTATTTAGCCTGTGTATTCATATTTTCGTATTAACCTGTGCAAGGTGCGGACCAGCTAATCGGTTGTGTTAGAATTGCCTGGTTGTTTTTAACTGGGGTCAGGATCAGCACATCTTTAAAGGCTCGTAAAATGTGTGTGTGCGTGTGTAGTGTCAGTGCAGGCGGTAAAAACTCGCAGAAGAAATATTGAACCTTGACACGTGCGGTCTCATTGGAACCACAATAACTGCCCTGAGGTTGCAGGGCAATTCAATAGGTTGGTTGACTTGGAGAAACAATGTGTTACCTGTGAACGCAAAATTTAAGCAACTTCAAAGATTATAGCAATGCCATTTGTCCAATTAGCCACGTAATTTTAGGTTCCTGAGATCATTGGTTCTTTCGCATTAAATAATTTATGTTTACAGCTGATATATCTCGTGGCGTGAGTGTTTTGATGCGTGCAGATAACTTCATATTTACAAAACTAAATCCTTTGGCGGCAATAGGCGGATAAGAAATTACGGTGCAGAAATCCCATATTTCTATTGACAATCGGCCTTTGAGGCAGTGGTGTGGCATGTTACCTGCGGTGCTTTGATTAATATTTCATTCGCACCAGCACAGTGGCTGCCTGCTGCACTGAGTAATCTCCATTGTTTGAAAACAGTTTGGTTGTCACTTTGCAGAACACAACGTCTCATCCTGTTAACGAATGAAATGCGCGTGTCTTCCCCCCCCCCCACCACCTTTACTCAGATGAATGTGTAGCGTGTGCAGCCTTTTCTTCGTCCCGAAAGACATGCACGCGCAAAAATGCACAAATTCATATTTTTCAATTCGATTGAACTAAAAAGATAAATGCGAGAGGGAACTTCCAGAGTGCAAGAAAGAAAATTGGCAAGCAGCCGTGATATATACGGTCACATGATTCCCACGCTGTGCATTCCCTTGTCGTACGTAGTAGCGCTTCCGCGCGGCTATATTCTGACCCGCCCCTACTGGCCATCTGTGAGAGAAAAAAAAGAGTTTCACAGCTGGTCGCATGACTCCAAGGCTAAATAAAGACTCTGATTCCGGATCGCTAGCCGTCAGTCATTGCGCTCCTTTCGCGCTTCCGAAGGAGCGTGACATTTCCACGCCGAGATTTAAGAACCCAGCCCTAGTTGTGACACGAGTGCGAGCTTTAACCAAACAGAAGGTGGCATCTAAAGTGCAAACCAGTTAATCTTAATGATGTGGAAACACAGCACCACATGCATAGTTGTTCACTGCAGGCAGCCATGATGCAGTGTTGGCTGTTAGGGTCGCAGTCTGTGGTGGCGCTTGAGTGTGCATCAGAGTAATGTCGCTTCCAGGCTCATGCATAATGCATTTTGAAATGCACTTGGTGATAAATCTCCAGAACAGCAAAGAAAGCTACAGAAATTCATCCTCATGTATTTGAATTTAAATGACTATGAGGCTCGGTATTTTGGAGTTGTACATTGAAGATCAATAGCCCGTGTCCATCTACCGCCGCATTGCTATTCACCCGCCGCCCCCTGCCCGCCATTAAGAATTAAACGGTAAGTATTCCGTCACCGATGCATTCGCACAACAGATTCTGCGACCACGCCACGCTGTTCTCTCTTCACGCGGTTTCCTAGGCGTCACGAAGGTGGAATACGGTGACGTCTCGGCACGGAAGGCCCTGAGAAAGCGGCTCAAGTGCATGCCCTTCTCGTGGTATCTGGAGAACGTGTACCCGGACTCTCAGATCCCACGGCACTACTACTCCCTGGGCGAGGTACCTGACGCGATTGTCGCTGCTTCACCGCGCATCTGAAAGAACGAATGCCCCCCTCCCCTACCCCCGATGATGCCATTCGAAGCGAGGAGGCTGTCGTGTGCGCGGGTGTTCATGGTCCCAAGTTTTGCTGGATTTTAAAAAAACCCGTGGGCCAGTGCATAAATCGGTGCCCACCTGGAGCGAAAACATTTCAGTCTCGCCGATTTGTATGGCCGATGAGATTTTAATTGTTTTCTTGTCGACTCGTTTCAAATGGTTATCGAATTATTTGACTGTTCTTGGTCCACGCAAATACATTGGAACCACTTATGGATTATGGAACCGCTGACATTTTGAAACCACTTTACGTTTTGCCGCCTCTGGTGTTACCGACAAGTGAAATGTCTGATCTGGGCTCATGGACTATCTCAATGGGGATTATACACAGCGGCAGAAATCATCGCCCCCCAACTAATAGATGAAGGCAAGTGCTGAGTCGCCTTGTGTCGCTGGACAGGCACCAGCTGCCACTGGTGGGCTGGCCTTCGAGTGTCTTGAGATAAGATGTGACTCAAGGCGATTGCGTCGATAAGGCATATTAAACAAGCACTTTATAAGTGAAAATACTATAATTGTTATTATGACCTGCATTATGTGGACTCAGTTTAGATCAAACTAAACTATAAACTTCATTAGACCTCCTTTGCCAGTACCAAAATATAATAATAGGGTTTTTCCCCTTTTTTCTGGCAACAAAACTGAAACCTTTTTACGAGGAATCATGTGTGCATTAACCACAATAATTGTGGTTATCAGAGTGTGTGTTTTATTGCATTTTGACCACAAGTATTGTGGCTAATGCACACATGATTCCTTGTAAAACGGTTTCAGTTTTGTTGCCAGAAAAAAGGGGAAAAACCCTCTTATTAAACTATCAACTATTTCTATATTACCATGTAAGGCCCACTGTGAGCTATCTGTCTCTTTTGTAGAAGCGACCTGGCCGCAAATGATAGCTCAACGAAGTACCTCCTGCATACCGGGCGAGGGAGTTAACATCTTGCAAATGTGGCGCCCCTAGGTCAACTGGCCATCACAACCAATCGCATTGATGCCATGTTCATCACTTCCCTCCTGCCATCTCCTACAACTGCCACGCAGTCTACCTCCAAGGCCCTCATTCGCAATCTGGCGAAAGAAGTTCAACACACATACACACATACGTATCACTTATTTGGTGGCCTCTGGGTGCCTATCCCACTGCCGGCCTCCGTATCTTGCACACGCAACACACCCATCGCAGCCGCCTCCGCCTGATTAAGCCCACAGTGCCACTATTGACAACTCGCCCCCGCATTATTCAGTACCCACATTAAGGCGGAGAGCACATTAATTATTAAGGAGAGAAGCACACGCCATACATCCACATTGTGCGCACGCCACGTGTGTATATCTCACTTGCTGGTGGGCCCCCGTATTAAATCCCGCGGAGGGTTATTAACCTGTTTTACACGCGGGGAAAAATAATGCGCTCCCTGTTACATGCGCGACCGAGGGAGAAATTGCGATCTCCCCCGGAGAGCTTGGGCAGCATTTAAATGTTTTATTGTTTCATGAGACTTAAGTAATTGAATGAACTAATGTTATGTATAAAAGCAAACATTAAAACAAATAAGAACAATAACTCCATCCCGTGGGGGAACTGTTTCATGTTGGGTACTGTTATTAGAAGAAGCTCATCATGATTGATGGGCAGAACGCTTTGTAGTGTAATGAAGCATCCAATATTTCAATTACTCGCCCGCACTGGCCCTCATCACGGCAGGACACAGCAAATGATGAAAATAGCCCCTTGTTATGTAGGCCCACAGACACACGCTACCAGAAGATATTAAATATTAATCAAGCTGAGATTACCGGCCATTTGAGAAGTGGGAAACGGGTTATAATCGATTTAGTACCAGTAGAAGAAGAGAATGAATCAGACCCTAATAAGATTTTTCAGGCGTACAATATTTCAGTAAATCAATGTGAAAAGGCTTGAATATTTTACAGGACCTTGCCTCTCAGTTAATTGTCTTCTGACCCGTTAAGTAATGACTGATGCGACAGCTGCATAAAACACATAAGCTGTTTATTTACAACAGCAGTTTGTCACGTGATGTAAAATTAATTTTGCATTCATCAATTTCTATTGTGGCTCACAGATATGGCTCTCCCTGTTGTGGCATTTAGATTTACAAATGATTAATGGGACTTTAAATACCACTTTTAATACATCTTAACCTTAATTGTAATTAGGAGGTCAATTAAATTGTTTTTTTTTGGAAGCAGTGAGTGATAAAATTACTATCCGCATGAGACAATCTCTGGAAGGATTCATTAGGATGCATCACTTGGAGTGGTAATTCTTAACATTTGAATGAATCTCAACTTACATATGTGGCCCCAATTATGGCTTAGTTTATTATTTGTACCATTTATTACGTGCCATAATAAATTGAATCATCTCAATTAAGCTACTTAGTGTTTATTAACAATAATCCAGGCCAGACGGTGCTGGGGATAACTCACAATCACAAGGTTACCCTTTCCAATCCCAGTTGGAGATTGATTCGGCCCTTGATCCGTTTTTCTGCTTGTAAAATGACTGCCTTTTATGTAGCGTCAACAGTGTTGTCTGATCGACACAATAAACTCCACCATGGGAATGTGAGATTTCCACTGTTGGCTCAGGGCTGCCAAAGGTGATGACTTTTGACTTTGAGCAGTGATGTATTGTGTATTTACTGTACAACCACGTTGGAGAAAACGATACCATAATTACCATCATGTTTGCTTTTTCAACGTGTCATAGGCATCAATGCTTTGGCTGTGGTCTCTCAGCTTACTGGGATCTCATATTTGTCATTCGTTGGCATGCCTTACCAATTGTGACTGTATGAGGACCCAGAGTAATAATACACACTCTCGGCTTTCATAGCCGTCCATCTCCAGGTGTTGCTCAATGCTTGTGAATGCCTGAGAGTGCCTGACTTGAAGACCCGACGGCTGATAGATCGAGCGGCATTTGCCAGTGAGTAAATCTCCCAATTTAATAAGCCTTGCATAAGCGTCATGAGCATAACGGTACAAAGCAGAGGGTGGAGGGGTGGGGGGGGAATAACTCTGCAGCCAAAGTCAAACAACACAGCCAGACTCACTTTTGCCTCAACCACTATCAGCATGAGCCCCCCCCCCCCCAACCTCTAGCCCCCCCCCCCCTCGTCCCAACATTTCGTCACAGCTCTGGTGACATTGCCTTTTGATAGGGGAGTGAAGGCGGCAGATAGTAAATAAGCGAGCTTCACATGATAAGTGGAACAAACAGAGAGCAGTGGTAGGAATGGATAACAAATGCGGGAGATTATAAATTACGCATGGTTTGAGCGATCTCAGAGAGAGCAGCCGAGGGCAATTTAATGGACGTGCACTTGGTATAATTGATATAGGAGGACTTTGACAGCAGGTTATGGATTCAGGAGTTTGGGCAAAGTGGCCAAGAGTGTGGGTGGGTAGGAAGGGGGGGGGGAGGTGCAAGCCGTGGCAGCCGACGATGCCTTGATGTGCGAGATGTCACGTGCGGGTGCTGCATCACATGCGCGGAGGTCATCGAGGACGGCGCTCCTCAGCGGGGTGGCGGTGTGTGTCGGCCCGCCCGGCCTCCTGCGGGAACGGCTTCCGTGGTGAGCTAGGGGTTTAAAAGCCCCCCCCCCCCCCCACCCTCGCCAGCGGGGACTTCCAGACACCTTTGAACTATTTGCACCGCCGTTACATGTACTTGAGATTTGAGATATGTGGTGCTGCTTCAGTGACCGTGCGAGTGAAAGCGTCGGCTCGGGGGCGGGGCGGGGGGGTCGGGGGCAGGGGGCGAGAGGGGAACGCGCGCTGAATAACGGAGCGCCATCGGGGGGGGGGGGGGGGGGGGGGTCCCGGCGGGGTTGGGTTTTACTGGTCGGTGAACTTGCCCCTCGACTAAAGCTGCACCCCGAGTAATACAATTCTGGTAGAAGCGGTGAACCTAATCGTCCATTTACTTATTTATTCTCAGGCCGTGTACGCTTGCACTTAAGCTGTAAGAACACGAGGCCACGTTTTCTGGATCAGTGGCTCGCAACTTGATTCCTGGAGAAGGTTTTTTTTTTAGGTCACTTTTGTGGATCAAAGCGAGTTTTCTGTTTAGCGATGTCACGGGGTGACCTGGCCGTCTAAGCCATTACTTTGTTGGATTTAATTACCGGCCTGTCCTGTCCGAATGAATTAAAATCCGTATCGCCGGTACATTGCGAACAACGGAAACTCGTACAGCGGTTCACATAAAAACGCCCAAATGTAACCCGAATCCGTAATACGTTTGGCGACATCGCCATGCTTTTCATTCAGAACATGCTTAAATGAGCGCGTTTAAAAAAAATGCGCGGCCGCAAACTTCGTGACCTGCTTCTACGCTCACATTCTGTCAGAGCCGCGCGCAATAAATAAAAACCACCAATGACTGTCAAATATACACGTATCCTGGTGGCACGAGTGGTCTCCACCCGGCTACCCCCCCCCACCTCTCCTGGGTGACATGGAATGGCTTACAAAATTAACAATACAATTGTAGCCAGCTGCATTTTTCAAACGCCATACGAATGTGGATGAAATGTAAAACGCATTCACCTGGTTTGTTGACAAAGGTGTGGTTACCCTAATGTGATAAGTTTATGAAAAATATACTTTGTGGTTGCTTTTGTTTTTTGTCTTCAGATCAGGAACATGGAGACAAACCAGTGCTTGGACAACATGGGAAGGAAGGAGAATGAGAAAGTTGGAATCTTCAATTGTCATGGCATGGGTGGGAACCAGGTAAGAGTCTGCAGCTTTACTCACTGGTGCCTTGTTATACAGACTGACTGCTCTCAATAAGACACAAACTCATGTATGTGTTGGAGGAAAGGCAGTTTTTTGTTACCGGTATTTGGCATGGAAAGGAACATATTAATACAATTCCACACCGATTTGGCCATGTTGGGGCGCCACGGTGGCGAGTTATCTCCCTCGTCTGGTGTGCAGGAGGTCGTCATGGGTTCATTCCTGACCCTGTATATATGGAGTTTGCAAGTTCTCCCTTTGGTGGTCGTGTGGATTATTATCCAGGTCCTCCGGTTTTTCCCTCCACATTGAGAAGCATGCGTTGAAATAATTTGACTACTATGAATTCGACATCATCCGAAGACGGGTAGGGCCCCGTTGCGAGCCAGGATCGTGGTCCAATTTTTCTTTTAAATGCCTGACAATTTACGCATTGCAAACGCGGCCTTCCGCTGTGAAAACAAAGCAGGACCCTCCTGAAGAAGAGTATTGAGACTCTGAGGCTTTCCTGGGTAAACAATGGTAATGAAATAGTTTCATTGTTTAATTTATTTTGGTATAGCCCTGTGAGCCATTCGGCTCTTGAATCGGGTGCAACCGCAACAAACAAAAAAACAAAAACACGAACAAGAAAAACATCTTAAAGTGACTTTGTGCATGTGCAAACAGAAAAAATCCAGGAAAAAAAACATCAAAATATTCCTGAAATAGCACCGTACACTAATCACCACGGAAGGGAAAAAAAACTACACGAAAGAAAGTACGATTTTGCATAGTTCGTGTTCATCCATCAACAACAGAGGCCGAGGCAATTCAATCCACCGCCTTTCAGCTCCTGGAATCCGAACCCGGCATCTGAGCTGCACCGGCTCAAACGCAGCATTGCCCTCGCGGGCCGCTCGTGGTTACGCTGCACCGCCACGCAAATCTCTTTCCCCGCGGCACAATCTTGTCGATTCGCTCGTTGGCCTTCGTGAAGGTCGTGTTGCTGTTTTCAACTCTCGCTTGAAGCTGAGCAGATTCGTGTTTCGCGAGTAATTGAAATGACGCGAACAAAAAAAAAGGAGGACTTACATTATGTAATGGAGACGATAATTAATCACATTCCTATTAATATTGGGCGATTTGATTAAAATGTGTCGCTGAGGTTCCTTGCATTTCGAAAGGGGGAGACCATTGTGTGTTGAAATTCAATGGTTCTGTTTACCGTATTGTTCTTCCTTCTCGGTAGACATCCATTGCTCTAACAACCGAGTACGGAATTTAATAAAACAAACAAAAAATCCTTCTTAATCCAAGCTGTTTGTTTTCCAGGCCCTTTGACATCGTCTTTTTTGTTTTGTTTAACTCGGCATAATTTACCCGCATTTTTGCCGTCCAGGGTGATCCACTCACCGACATCGTCGGCAGAATACGAAAAAATAATTTCACAGCCTCTACACTCCCCCCCCCCCCCACCCCCCCCCCCCCCCCCCCCCCACAATCTCAATGCACTCAGTAAATATTTTAACGCTCTCCATTGTTAGCTACGGCGTCCATCGCTTTCACAACATTCAATCAGATGTTGAGAAGAAGCGGAAAGATGGCCATTAAAAATCAATGGGGTATCTATACATGGATTATCCCGTATACTGATTAGCGCGGTTAGCTACGTTCCGGTGCGAACGGCTACGTACGGTGCGAAAGAAGTTCCACATATTTACTGTATTCACAGGCACGGAGACCATGCACTATCATGTAAACAGTAATATCTGGAGACCTTAATCTGTGTATGTAGGTTGAACTTCTTTCGCATCGTACGTAGCCAGCTGTGCAGATCAGAGGTGCTGGGAAGGACAACAACAACAACAACAACAAAAACATAAAAATAAGTTCTAAAGGAATGAGTTTTCAATCTAGATTTAAAAGTGGATAGCTCCGGTGGCTTGCTAAAATCAGAAAAAAGAGCATTCCAGGCAGTCACAGAAGCACATCTGATACCAGACATTACACACAAGTTGGCTTCAAGATACAATTCCCAACTTCCATGAATAGACGCGAAGCTTTCAGCGTTGACACATGCCGTTTAAAGTCTGCCATGGATTCAGCGAACGGAGCCAACCAAACACATTGCCACGGGGCTGCCCTGTCGTGTGATAATTCTGTAATGACTCCGTCGGAAAAGTCATTGTATTTGTCAGCACGCCAACAGCAGTGCTCTGTAGTGGATCAACCCCATGTGCTCAACCAGCAAATATCAGACGTGATTTATCATTAGATTATTTTGGGTTCGATTGTCGTGTAGGTATAATGTAATGTTTTTTTTTAACTGTATCCCCCCCCCCACCATTTGATAGAACCAATCAAATCACGTTGTCACGTATGCAAAGTATGCCGGTTGATTTGGTTTATCAGCAAAAGTCAGAACGTATGTGTGAACGTATGTTGAACGTCTTTCGCGCCGTACATTTCCAACCGTGCTAATCGGAGGTGCGGATTGTTGAAAAGCAAGCAACATTTCTTGACGATGTTTGTATGATATTTCTATGACGATGTTTGTATGACGATGTTTGTATGACGTTTGTATGACGATGTTTGTATGACGATGTTTGTATGACGATGTTTGTGTGACGTTTGTATGACGATGTTTGTATGACGTTTGTATGAAGAGTTTGTATGACGTTTGTATGACGATGTTTGTATGACGATGTTTGTATGACAATGTTTGTATTATGTTTGTATGACGATGTTTGTATGACGATGTTTGTATGACGTTTGTATGACGATGTTTGTATAACGTTTGTATGACGATGTTTGTATGACGTTTGTATGACGTTTGTATGACGTTTGTATGACGATGTTTGTATGATGTTTGTATGACGTTTGTATGACGTTTGTATGACGATGTTTGTATGATGTTTGTATGACGATGTTTGTATGACGATGTTTGTATGACGTTTGTATGACGATGTTTGTATGACAATGCTTGTATGACGTTTCGCTGGTGAATACAACCGGCATCCTCAGTTGTTAACGGAAGCTCACCTCTCTCGCGTCTTCGATTAACAAAATCGATGTGCATGTTTGCCCCACGGCGCGACAGTTTGATTCGATGAGCTCCGTCGGGTGGTGGAGGGGTTATAGTTACAAATGTACATTTTACCTACACGACGATCTAAGACAAAAAGCAAGGAATTATTAATCATCGTAATATTTTGGCCGTAAAAGCCTACGAATAAAGAGACACCGAAAGTAATCTGTGTGGCTCTCGTTTGTATAACGACCCCGTTGGGTGAAAGAGTTCTGCCTTTCATTCACATGCCTTTTTGGTGTCTGTTGGTTGAGCACGCGAGGCCTCTCCACTGGAACGGGGATGCCCTTGCCGTGTTCCAACCTTTAAATGAATGGCAGACTTTTCCGACGGAGTGGTGACGTTATGATCGCACAAAACGTAAGCTACAAACGAATTTCCCAGAAGCTCAGTAGCGATGTGCTGGCGGTCCCGTTAGCTGAAACCATGGCAGCCTTTTACGGGATTTGGAAAGGCTGAAAGCTGTTTATCTGTGGAAGTTGTGAACCTTATTTTGAAGCCAACCTCTAACTCATATTAATTAGGTGCATTGTGTTTAATATATTAATATTCATGCTACATTTTTGGTTTTAAGTACAGCAATCCCCCGCTATACATAAGAAATGCATTCCTGGGAAAATGCGATTTAACTATAAATTATTTTAAGCGAACTCCCCATAAACATGTTAAAATGAGAGGTTGCATTCGGGGAAAAAAATGCCAAAAAGTGTGCAGAAATGCATATGATTATAAGTTTAATACATTTTAACTCGTAATATATTCAAATAATTAGACAGCACTTACCAGAGATAGTTGAATACCTTGCTGATCTAGGCCTCTTGGGGTGAGCAGTGGTGGAGTCATGCGGACAAAGGGGGCGGCAGGATCGCCTGCCTCTTCATCTGACGAGGGAGCTATAGGAAGCTGCCTCTCTCCTCCACGTGGAGGAAAATCCCTCTCCACACGGTGGAGGGATTTGCGGTGGTGTGCGCTGTGCAAGTATAGTTCGCTACCACATCCTGAAGTAGTCCGTTTTCACCATGTGTGCGTTCATGCATATGCTAAGCATTACAATTGCAATGAAATGTGTTCCCTGATTAATCGACAACGGTTATGTGAAACAACGTATAATGTGATAACTTATAGCGGGGGGGTTACTGTAAATTACGATAACTTTTCATTCTGTAAAAACAAAAATTCCATCGTTTCCAATAATGATCAGTATGAAGCGCATATTAAGCAGCTGATTGGTTTGGAGTATTTGTAAAAATGTGATGTGCATCACCCCTCCGTGTTAGAAACGACTCCATGGAGCTGTCAATGAAATTTCGCAGGAAAAAAAATTACGGCAAAACAAAACAGCCATAGCAATTCTTGATATGCAACATTGGTGCTGATAACGTGGCAATAATTTGAAGCATGAAATTCAGGACCAGCTGGGATCACCAGGGGGTACAGATCGAGGTCAACCAACTCCCATCGCCTCTCTTTCTCTCTCTCTCTCTCACACACTGTCCCCTTTCCCTCAACTCATTCCGCACACGTTAATTTGTGATGACACACCCCTGGGTCATCATTATCATCTTCATTTTGTGACTCAAACCGTCCTCCCAGCCCACACGCGTGTGGTGAGCGCCTGCCGCCCAAACAAATGAACTCCACGTCGTTATCACGAAAATGCCCTCTTGCTGCCCCCCGGCCGCTGCCGCAGGTGTTCTCGTACACGGGCGCGTGAGCCAGCGGTCGGCCTGTCGTGTGGGGGGGGGGTGAAGTGGAGCTGCGGTGATGGCGTGTGTGTGTGTGTGTATGTGTGTGTGACGGGCAGGTGTTCTCATACACGGCGGAGCAGGAGCTGCGTTCGGACGACCTGTGCCTGGACGTGTCGCGGCTCAGCGGCCCCGTCATGATGCTCAAGTGCCACCACCTCAAGGGAAACCAGCTGTGGCACTACGACCGCGAGGTGCGCGCCGGCCTCCCTCCTCCTGGCTCCCGTGGGCCTGCGGTGTGAATTAATCAGCCCCGCTCACTTTCGAGTTTGGCTTCATTTGAATGTCATTTTTGCATCTTGGTGATTTTGGCGGACGATATGATTCATTGGCCGAGCTCCAATTCCAGCCAGCGGCTTGTTAAGTATTGCTTTTTTTTTTGCTGCCAATTTTTTGCAGGTACATAATTAATTATACTCGTTTTTTTTTTTGGGGGGGGGGGGCCTTAGGTCCGTCGTGTGTATCACAGCTTTCTCTTGCATGCAGCATGATCAGCATTGCTATGGGTCAAAACAAAGACTATCTTCACAGTCTTGCCAACACAGAAAGACGTGCATTCTTATACACGTAGGTTCTTATATTAGTGTGCTTTCATAAATCATTGAAAAATAAAAAAAAACACATCTCCCCTTAAAACAAAAACAAATGCCTTGTCTCTCCAAAAATATTTTACCACCGTTTCCACATTCCTAACCAGATTCATTGCCAGAGGGCCATTTTTCAACATCTCCCAAGTAACTTGGTAGGAAACATTGTGACAAACTGGCAGAATAAAAAAAAAAATGAGCCTGTGCACTTTGCCAGGAGTCGTACGTCTCCTATTGATGTGAGCACACGTGGCCTTTTCGTGTTTGCAGCTGTCGGAAGAGAAACTGTAATGGAACATGAGACTCACCGTGGGATTGTCGGTGGAGAGGTATTGCGTGCAAGGTCCTAGAATGCAAAAGGGGTCCGGACCTTGGGCTGCCACTGGAGGCTAGGCTGCTCGAGAGGGCCCTCTACCGGGAGGGATTTTTACACTGACATTGATGATGCTCCTGCGGTTCATTATTAATATTGTTAACCTTGCTTGTCCAGAGAAGCCTCGCTGAATATCATGACTTTTTTTTTCCCAAGAGGGTTTCTGAAACGTTTTCGCTGGAAGCGGGCGATGATTGAGTAATTTGTTGGTAATTTTTCAACTTTGATGCTGATGATGCAGCTGCTTCGGTTCATGTTTCTTGTTACAAAATCGGTGATCTTTATAATCTCGTGCATTCTTTATATCTGGCTGGCCGGCACTGTGGCAGGAATCTCATGATGAGTTCTAATTACGGTTGAGGGTCAACAGCCTTGCATCTCTCTGGGGGGGTCGATAAAATTGAGTACCACTTTGTGAGAAGTCAACAGTGGTTGTCCTTTGGAGAGACTGACACCCACCATGGAATCGTGGACTTTGTATGTACTGCATGCTGAACTTCATTCGCACCATACGTTGCCAACCGTGCTAATCGGAGGTGCGTGGAAAGGACCTCTGGCTCAGTGCTCCTAATGGCGATGAACACCATTCCATAATTTGAGCAGGAATAGGCCGACTCCAAAAATGCTAATTGTGCCCTATCCTTGCATATGAAGCGTCATTTACTCATGAAGCGTTTTTTTCTTTCAAAGTGTTCATTCAAAACGCCGGACTATGTTTGGTGGCTGCTAGTTGCTACCGGTGGACCAGAACCAGTGTTGGACATTACACATCCCTATGGCAGAGACCAGTCTCTTACGTAGCACAACCACTAGAGACTTCACAATTAAGAGGTGCCGACTGAAGAAAAACACATTTGAGACACTCCCATCACCTCAACCTCTGCCACCGTTGCTTTTACAGAAGATGACGCTGCGTCACGTGAACAGCAACCAGTGTCTGGACAAGGCCGGCGAGGAAGACCGCCAGGCGCCCACGATCAGCGACTGCAACAACGGCCGTTCGCAGCAGTGGCTTCTCCGCAACGTGACACTGGGGGTGTAGGCTCCCCCCCCCTCCCTCCCCCCCCCGAGTGATGGGGAGTGGAGCGGGCAACCTCCTACCCCAGCCTAAGCTGGAACTTGCAGGGCAGCGTGCATCAACCAACCCCCGCGGCAGGCGCGCCTCCTGGCCGGGGTTCGCATCGGCCGCGAGGATCGCGCAGGCCGGGCGTGGTGAGACGCGCAGACTCCCGGGGGGAAGGAGGTTGGTGGTGGTGGTGGTGGTGAGCACGATGATGATACCTTGGCGTGCGGTGTGCGCTATGGCAGTTCGGGTCGTGGCAGTGCAGTATTGCAAGAGATCGACTCTTGCGGGGAAATTGCTCGGCTGTCCGCGTGCTCTTTTTTTTTCTCTCCCCGCCCCCCCCCCCCCGAGCGCAGTACGAGTGGGCAAGGCTTTTGCTTTGTGTCCCATTGTGTAAAAGGTACACTCAGACTTTGTACAATTAGGTTTGTGGCACCAGTCAAAATATCTGCATTAGGCTTTCGTATGTTTTATTCTTGAAGGATGAAGGACTAATTTATAATTCAATATTGAATTGAGGAATGGTTCTTTTCTTGACTGAACAGCATTCTGTTAAGAGCAAGCAACATCGAAGGATTCTTTTTTTTATATTTCAGTTCATGGTTACAGCTGAATTCACGTTGTCAAAGCAATTAATTTATTTGGCATGACGCGAATGGTTGATTTCGGATATTTGTAGTCTAGAAACAGCACACTATTTCGTTGGGACGTTGTCTAGTTTACATTCTTTCGCAAGCGATGAATAGAATTTACAAACGATGGTTTGTTGTAACTATGGAATTGGCTTGAACTATGTAATTTGGCAGCCGTTTGCAATCCATTTTAGAAACTAAGTAATGGAAAGCTGTTATTTCGAGCCATCAACCTGAGGTCTAAGCCAGGATCGTTCCCACTCTGGATAGTTATTCACATATGGAAATGGGCCAAGATCCTCATTTGTACCACACCAATACACCACTCCAAAGCAGCAAGGAGATCACGTTCAGTGACCGAATCCCCTCAACACTTTGAAGCAATCGGACACCTCGCCAGCCGCGGAGGTCACGGCCAGTGACTCGAGTGGCTGCTCAGAAGCATTGGGCCCTTGCCCTGCCGTCTCTGTGTCCCCTACCTGCACGCAGCCGAGTTCACCCCCTGCCGCTATTGCGCGCACGTGGTGGGTGGTGGCGGTGGGGGGGGGGTGATTGCGAGGGTTCTGGTGCAAAGTTTATAAAACGTTTCAATTGTTCAAGGCAATGAATGACGGCGTTGTTTTTTAATTGTAGGCACTGCACTAATGCCAGTGCTGTGCGAGTGTGCAAGTGCGCGTGTCATTTTTTTTGTTAACCGTTTTTTTGCATTTTTTATCTTGCAAACAATACATTTTAAAAGGAAATGTACGTCTCAAAATACAGCTTTTTACGACAACGGGAGTCGAGTCGCGAATGCGAGGCATTGCGATATCGAATCGCAGTAAGGTAGCGCAAAAAAATACATGTGCGGCAGTTTCAAGAGAAAGTTTAGCGTGTGGATTTCGCCAAAAAAAAAATTCGTGGCGGTGTTGAAAAAGTGCTCATCGGTTAAAATATATAATTCTATATTTGATTATAAACCAATTTCAATGTTTACTTGCACTACAATTAGGAGGAATTTAGGATATGTATACGATGGGAAAAGGCAGTTTGTTTTAACGTTTGATTTTTTTTTTAAGAACGTTTCCCACCACCCACCACCCCTTTTATTAAATTCGTTAACGAAGAAGTTGACTTGACGACGTGAACCACCCGCTCGGACGTGCGCGCCACCGCCCTTGTCGCGTCACGACGGGGGGGGGGGGTGGAGGACTGGGGGGGGGGTGCAGCTCTGGGCAAGGGGGCACCTCTGGAGGCACCGGAAAGTCATTTTTGTGTGCTCGGTGGATGATTTTGTTGTCCTTCACTTACCCACCGCCACCCCACCACCCGGCACCTCCGAATCGTAGCGCGGTCGGCTACGTACGGTGCGCGAAAGACGTTCAACGTGCACAGGAGGACACCGTAACGACGCCAAAAGTGACCAAAAATAGCGACGTCCACATTTTGCGGGCATTGGCTCCATTGGCCAATTGGATCCCGAAGCCCCACCCCCCACCCCAAACCTCTGAACCGCATTAGCCAATCAAATCATAACCAGAGTCCAACCTATAACCCTTAACCATGGTGCTTAACCCTTCTTCTGCCCCACCCACCCACCCGGCCCACCCCCTCTTCACTTTTGATTTCTTTTGCAATTTTCATTCACCTTCGAGTTGATGAGGTTATTCAACAGGGTCAAAATATGGACATAGTGTTCACTTAAACTAGCGGGCGAGTAACGAGTTCATAGAGAGACGGAAATGTACACTGTGTCTTTTGTGTGTGAGGTGTGGGGGGTGGGGGGGGTGGGGGAAATAAAAATGTGAAATTGTTCATTCGACTCGGCGTTACATTTTATGCGTCTTGTAGCTCAATCTTATGCTTCATTGAACATCAATATCAACATCGAAAAACACACTTTCTTACGGATTTTTAACAAATTATTTTACAGTTCCTTCCCCCACCCAAGGAATTTCACGCCATGCCAAATTGACGAGCCTGCCATCGGAAGACCCAATCGCATCCCACCTCATCATTCATGACAGCGGGCAACTCGTTAACATTTCAAAAACAATGCACCATGTTAAGTTAAAGGATCCTGGGAATCGCGCACGATGGACAAATGGAAGAGCACACAAAGCAGCCTCTCGAACACTACAAAAATAGTTTGTCTTTATTAAATTTAGGGTTACCACTACTTGAACATCGGCAATAATAAATGTTTACAAAATGAAGAACACCACTGCCTTCTGTGACAAACTACACTGCTATTCCGTTTGATTACACTATTTACAAAAACGCTCACCACATTCCCGCGAATTAAATTAAATGATTGCTATTCCATCTTCCCACACCCATTTCGTGAAACATTCACAACTACGTGTTCAAGCCCAATTTGCCAACCTCAGTCAGTGGTCTTGTGTGGCAATTTCAAAGAGTGCATAAGGAGCAAAGGCATTAATTAACTACGAACCCCCGCTGGAATTAGTGTTTACATTAGAGCTACACTGTAGCCATAATATTTCAGTCTTTGGGCCCAACGTCACCATAATTGTAAAACTATACGACATGTGTAGCGACGCTCTGGGGAAACTGTCCCCAGCATGCTGGTCTCTAGTTTTTTTTTGCTGGCAATGAGCCATCAAGTAACGGGATAGGAGAGTTCCAACAACGCTTGAGCACTTGGGGCTACTCGAAATATCTGCCGAAGTTCCACTTTTGGTAGGCGTTCAGGACGTCGCAGGAGCTGAGCTTCAGGCCTTTCCCAACTTGCGCCAGGCACAGAGACTCTCTGACGGACGCCTTCACAATGTGCTTCGCCTGGCCAGCAGAATACAAAAAATTACTGTTTTAATGAAGCCTGTTAAAAACATTTGTTTACCGTAAAAACATTATAAGTCACTGTCAAAGCATCTCCCCCCCCACCCTCCGCTCAAGCAAGCGTCGGGCACGATCAGTAGCCACGGTGCCACGGCCACGCCGGGTATCCAGGAGGTCGTGGGTTAGATTCCAACCCTGACGCCTGTGTATTTCGAGTTTGCATGTTCTTACCGTGATCGCGTGGATTTTTGCCCGGGTCCTCCAGTGTTTTCCTCCACATTTACAAATCTGCGTTCGAAGTATTTGGCTGCTTTAAATTTCCACGTGATAAGCCACGTTGTTGAGCTATCACTTGTGGCAAGGATGCTTCTGAAAAAGAGCTACATCGTTGAGTGGGCCTTTTCTGGTAAAATAAAATAAAAAAATACTTAAAGTACATTTTGATTTAAAGCTTTCGTGACTGCAGGGATTCATATTCTTGGTTCTTTCGGTAAAGTAACGTATAAGGGAAACAATACAATAATAAAAATATACAACAATTAAATTCTCACGTTTCGAAAAACACCGAAAGAATAATTTCTTGCTGTGGTTTTCACACCTGATGATGATTGCTTGTGTTGCAGTCGAAATGTCGTGAGAATTGTATTGTTTTATATATGTATATTTTTTTATTTTATTGTTTCCCTTCTACGTGACTTTACCGAAAGAACCAAGAATATACTTAAAGTAGTTTAAAAAGTTTAGTTTAGCAGCCCTGAACCGCATTTCTATAGAGGGTGTTGGTATTTCCGCAGTACAGACAGGAATCAATTTAATTAAGCCCCCTCCCACAACCCCTGGTTTAGAGGCCTAGCTTTTCACACGATCCTTACCAAAGAGTGTGTGTTTGTTTTATATATATACATACACCAGCATTTTTTATTGCCATTAAAGAACCCAGAATACTAGCGGGGAATTTCAAAAGGGGAGAATTAAAAAAAACGCGGAACACGCGCAACAACGCAACGCACCCGTAAATTTCTGGAACGAACGAGGGGGCCCTGTCCGGGCTCTCTTCCCTACTGGGGTAACGATCGTCAGGATCAGTGACTATAAGGTAGGGGTAGCGATCATCGGGAGCAGTCTTCTTCTTTCGTATGGCTGATGTGGATGCAGAGCAACAACCGCAATTTCACATTCAGGTGGTCAAGCACCAGATGAACGGCATCGGGAGTCGATGGGCGTTACCATCGCCGCGACGTCTCCTCCGTATTCGTGCTTCGGGCACTGCGGCATTACACGTCGCTACGGCCTGTTCTGGATGACCACGGCGTCATAAACGAGGTAACGATCGTCGGGAGCTCTTACCAGAGGCTGCTCGCTGTGCGAGTGTAGCCAGGCCTGGGGCTCGCTGGCCGGCCTGCAGCCCGCTAGCCCCACGGTGCCAGCGCCCGCCAACGCCGCCAAGCACAGCCCGTCCTGCCGCAGCTGCTGCCACCACGTGTAGTTAAACTGCTGCGGCTGGGAGAGAGCGCGGCGGGTAGAGTGGGGCTATTAAATCGAAGGCTACGGTGTCTCGTTAACATACGGCTCTTAGGCGAAATAATGTAACCGTCTCGTTACGTGGGCCCGTTAGACCTCGGTGTTTACTTACGGCGCGAAGCAACATCGCATTAATTCGGCCTTTGTTATTTTTAGTGGGAAAATAATTTGATTTTGGAACCGGTGTCTTTAAGCCCGACGCAAAAGGCGATATTTTCCGTCAGATGCTGCTCAACGAATGGCGAATAACGCGAAATGATTTCTTATTATCACCCATGTTTGCAATGAGCATGGAAATAGACGCCGTTTCTACCCAGAAAAATGCATAATTCTGCACAGCACACAATTCGGGCATGAAGCCAAAATAAACATGCCGCGATATTCAGCTCTGTTGTTGGCCTTTTCCCAAGAATGAAAATTCCACATTCCTGTGGCAGACTCATTAGCACGGTTGGCAATGTACGGTGGCAAAATAAGTTCAACATTCCTACAAGCAGCGTTGACATCCCACGAAAGAATGGATATATAACTGATGATTTAAGTTTACGTAGCAGCCAAATCAACTATATCAGAAAGCACTGTGATGACTACTCATGCAGTTTCAAGTTCACCGTGTTGCACTTACCTTCGACACCCCACCAGTCTGAATGCACAGGTGCACTTCAATGCTATTATTGATGACTGTCAGGCACTGATTGGATCCCTCGTTCCACACCTGTCAAAAGAGAAACGGTGGAAATCCCCCATGTGTGACGAGCGATAATCACGGCAGTTCATCACGGTGACTTGCCAAGAGCGGCCTTGCGCTGTGCTTGCCATCGCAATCGGAGGGTGCAGAGGCCGGTTATAATTTCCGCGATCGAGCCGCATGGCGGTAATTAGCCTGAGCATGCCAGCCTACGCAACAAGGATGCTCCAAAGGGAGTAAATGTGAAGTGCCAACAAACCTCTTCGCTCGTTTTCATCACCAAAGTCCACAATGAAAGGGAAAGAAAAAAACATCCCCGGGACTTTTGTTTTCCTCGCGTACGTACTAGCAATGCGCAACGTCTTTTAGACGTGTCCGGCCGGCCGGCCTGCCGGCCTGCCACAAGCCAGCAGGTCGGCCGGCCTGGCATCCAGCCTGCTGTTTCCTCCTGAATCCTGGAACACTCAATATATTCAGGAACCTTACTCGTAATAATAATAATAATGAAACATTATTCCCAAACCTTAGAAGGCCTCTCCCCCACCCTATGGCATATTGGTCACGTGGGGTTTCTCGTCCGTACACAAGCGTCCAGGGACGTGGAGGTTGGTGAATGGGGATTCCGGGACTGGTCCAGACGTCGCTCGCCCCCGATGTTCACCGCGGCCGGGAATCAAACTCGGATGGCCAGGCTCATAGTGCAGTGTGCTAACCACTGTGCCTCTGCTCCTGAATATAATAATACTTTACTAACTCAAGAAAGACTCGACTCTTCTCAGGAAGGCCCTTCTTGGCGAGTCTTTCCTGGATGCATAACAAGTATTGCAGTATAACAGCAGATCACAGAGGATTGATATGGGAACGTCGGCAACAGATGACACGACCGTGATCGCCAACAGTGCAGGACTGCTGCTGCTGCTGCTGGGAGTTTCTGGATCCTGCGGCCTCTGTAAAGGAGTGGGAAGAGAACCAAGTGTGTCGGGGGGGGGAAGCGGTGGTGTTGCCAATAGTGCTACGCTGCGCTACAAACCCGGTGACCCGAGTTCGATTCCCGCTGACGGCCAACGCCAGTGACGCTCCTTTAAACCGGTTCTGGGCCTCCCCTAGGTCGACTCGGCCTCAAATGAGTACCTGGTGGTGTGTAAAAACATCGCCACTGGGGAGACAAAGGCGGCCGGGTGTGGTGCTGGCTACCCCACCCCGTCGTGTGCCTCGCTCGCAAACAGCACTTGCCCCAACGGTCTGTTGAAGGCTATGCGGCGGGGATCTTTGTCTTTGTGTGTGAAAGTGAGCGAGAGAGTGTGTGTGTGTGTGTGCGATCTTTGTCTTTGTATCGGGGTGGTAGAGGTAGGAGGGGTGGTGGGGGGGGGTAAGCGACGCTGAATCGTCCAGCGGTGGCGTGCGCACCCATCCGTCGGCCTGCACGAGCGGAGCCCGCAGGTCCGCGTAGACGTTCTCCAGGTACCAGCCGAAGCTCCGGCAGCCGAGGGCCTGGCGCAGCCGCCTCTGCGGCTCGACGTCCCCCACGGAGCTGCGGACGAAGCGAGCGGCGAACTCGCCCTCGGGCAGCACGCCGCCGCCGGCGCCGCGCGAACGCAGCGCGTTGCCGTAGCCGCGGCCGTAGAAGACCTCGGCGTACTCGTCGAGCCACACGTCGGCCACCCGCCGCAGGTTCCTCTGCACCGTGGACACCTTGTCGCCGCCGGGGAACGGGTACGGGTTGTCCGCCCGGTACACGTGGCCCACGCGCGAGCACGGCACGATCTCGATCTCGCCGCCGCACATCCACACCTGAAATACGGGGGCGGGGTTGAGTGGCGCACGATCTTCTATTCGTGTATCTGTTGGGCCTTTCTTGGCAGTGTCGATTGAACTGCCGTTTCGCCTTTTGGCGTTCTCTGGTCCAACACTGGTGAGACCATAAAGAAGGCCGTCTCTGTCGCAGGGCCCCATCAGTTTCGAAGGCGATGCGCGTATTATCAGAGCGCGTTTGTTTGCACGATTCCCCATAGGTCACGCTTCTTGCGTGCAAGCGGCAGCGCGCTTGGTTGCATCCGAGCATGTTACGAGTCCACACAGCGCAACGGGCGCGGCTTGCGCTGCCGGAAATATCCAATCGGAGAGTGAACGTTTCAGGCTAGCTAGAGCGGCTATTATCACATGTATTAACCCGAACGAATGTCAAGAACAATCGCAATTTGTTATTGTTGATGACAATTATTTTAATCCACTTAGCTATGTAAATGCTCAGAGTCATTTGTTTCGCCGTTGGCTTTTGATCCCCCGTTGTTAACGTGTCATTACGGCTTTTTTGGGGGGGGGGGGGGGGGGGAGGGGGAGAATTTAAATTTCCGCCGTGAAATATTAACTGGCCAATTGTCAAGAATGGAGACGCATCCGAGCCGAGGAATGGAAACAGCTCGAGGGGAACGTCCACGATGGAGACGGAGCGATGCATCAGCTCGCGTGCGCTGATGCTCGCTGGCTTATTATACAGCCGGTGCATCCGCCAGTCATCTAAGTCCATCCCTCTGACCTCCTGCCAGCGGGCGTTCGACGCTTAAAGTGCACGTAGCCTGGCACAAGCGCCGCGGTGACGTCACCGCCACTTCCGTGGCGAATGGCCGTTGTTGTATTATACTGCAGGATCACAAGATATGCCGACAGCTGAGGGGGGGGGGAAGTCCTTCATCCAGCAGCGGATCGACCATGGCCGACGACGACTACACCACAAACAGATCTCCCTATCAGAAAGAAACTTTGTTTTTTTGTCACGGAGCCCCACGTACCTTGAAGGACAGCTCAAGATTCTCGCCTCCCCACACCTCGAGGCCAGGGTCGTAGGTGCCCAGCTCGTAAAAATAGCGCTTGTCGATGGCAAAGAGACCCCCTGCCATCACAGGACACCTGCCACGCAGGGAAGGGCACGGGGACAGAGAGATAGATAGATGGTGGTGGTGGTGGGGTTAGTCCCCGCAATTCACGTGCGCTCCACGGGCGCCCTCTCGTGGCCACAGTGCGGAAACACCGTCGCTGATGTGGGACACGCAAATCTTCCCCAGCTATTGCACAGCGGCGTCAAATCACCCGCCCCCAAAAAAAAAAGGAAAAGCGCCCTTCTCCCGTCTGAAATCGAGACGTTGCTGATCTCGTCAAGGACCATAGGCCGTCACGCAAACTCCAGGTCAACCCCGGCGACGCGGGTTCGATTCCTCGATTTCCGCTCGCAGCCACCAACGCCAGTGACGATTATTACAACTGGTCCTGGGCCTCCCCAAGGTCTACTCAGCCTTAAATGAGTACTTTGGTACGGGGCGTCCGAAATCATCGCCACCGGGGAGGCAACTGCGCCCAGGACGTGGTGCTGGCCACCCCACCCCTCTCAGTGTGTCGCGGTGCCGGCCTTCCCAGGTGCCACTCGCAGCGCTCGCTCCTGCCGAGGCCTACACAGGCGCGGGAGCCTCCGCGCGCGCGGCGAGCACTCACGGGAAGGGGTCCTCTCTCTTCAGGCCAAGCGCCGTCACGACGTCGACCGGCGTCGCCCTCCAGCCAAAGTTCAGCGGCCACTCGAAGACCCCTCGCAGGAAGTCCGTGACGTGCTGGTAGCTGCGCAAGAGGAGCGGGCGATGCGATCGAGGGTGCCGGTGTCGGACGTTTCCACGCACAGTTTAATCGTGAGCGAACGGGGGGGGGGGGGGGGTGCGGGGGTGGGTTTGGGACGAGTGTCGTTTTCGGGGAGCTCGCACCTCATGTCCTTCTCGTTGATCACCTCGATGACGGGGCACGCCACGCGGCTGCGGTTGGCGTGGATCCGGGCCACGAGCGGCTCGAGCCAGCCCACGTTGCACTCCACGTGCGAGTCGAGGAACAGCAGGATGTCGCCTGCGCTCACACGCGCCACCCGGCAGACGGGCACGGCCACGGAATGAAACACGGTGCCTTGCCAAGGGCGCATGAGCCATCGTCACGCGAACTACGGTCATCGTCACAAGCGGTGGATTTTGGCTGGCCGTCTGGAACGCTCTCTTCCCTTCTAGATGTTAGGAAGACACTGGAGCCACGCACTTTTAAATAATTCAGATTAAAAACTAATTTCTTGAGAACTGCTTTTTGTTTTTAGTTTGTTGTCCTTGCCCTCCGCACCACCGATTAGCACAGTTAGCTATGTAGGGTGCGAAAGAAGTTCAGCATACATACATACAGATGCGGCTTCTGCAGAACTCCACTTGTCCAATACCCAGACAAAGCGTCTGTATAATTGCGAAGATACAATAACAACTATTTATTCCGTTGACCAATACATGTTCTGAATCAACGTTTGTCCAGTTGCGTTTAAAAGGAGAAAATCCTGCAGTGGGTGAGTGTTTTTTTCTCTCCCAAGTTCATTAGCAAGGGTGTTACCCCTTTGAAAGAAGACGGCAGAACATGGGAGAGACCCGCCCGCCAACGCCTCTGGATTTAAATAATCATGTTTGGCAGTTGGCCAACAGAGAGCAAACAACGCGGACATCCAGAATAAACACTTCGTATGAGACCCAAACATCTCACTACCCCGGTTCTGACAATCCTCAAAGACACCGGTGGTGTAACCATTAACCCCGCATCAGAGCGCACATCCACACGGATGGAAAATGAAAGGCAAGCCACGGCCATGGTGTGACCGTGGCCACACACAACCCACACTGTGGACTGAATAATAATACTCCACTGTAGTCTGCGCTCCTTCAATGGAGGAGGGATGGGAAAAAACAACTACACGAAACTCACTGCCCCCAAGCCCCGTCGTGGCGAGCAGACCCCCCAACATTGGCATCTATTCAACTCCTGAAGCATATCGCCGTAAGCAGGAACAGAATAGCTGGGGGGTGACCTGGTCATCTTGTGGACGTGTAATGTGCAGTGTAGCCATCGACGGGTCATTTGAGTGCAACCAAGGTTGGTGAGGTTTGTTACGTGCGCGCGTACGCTGAACTTCTTTTGCACCGTACGTATCTGACCGCGCTAACCGTTGGGTGCGGACCAAGCGAATTCGCCAAAGGCGTCGCACGGCGGCGGATTGTTCGCGGCAGCGTGTACGATGCACTCCGGCGGTCGCGGGCAAAGCCATAGCGGACATCGGTAGTTTGGCCTACAGGGTCATGCACTGACATGTTTCACCAGTGTGAGGACCATGGTTTTACGAGTCAAGAGTGATGACCGGTGAAAGTGTAGGAAAGTGACTGCACATGCCCCCCCCCCCCCCCCCCGCTGTCGAATTTTAAAAGAAAAATTCGACAGGCCCAGCTCGTATACCCGTATTGTCGCCCCGTGCGGACTCGTGTTTCTGTGCGTGCGTGTATGGGGAGCGGTGGCACGGTGGTTAGCATGGTGCACTTTAAACCCGGCGACCCGAGTTCGATTCTGGCTAAAGGTCAACACCAATGATGATTATTATCAAATGAGTACCTGGTGCGACGTGTAAACATCGCCACTGGGGAGACAAAGGAGGTCTGGCGTGGTGCTGGCCACCCACCCCCTCGCGTGCCGTACCCGCCTTCCTTCATAGGTGCCCGCTTTAACAACACTTGCCCCAAGAGTCCGTCATTGGCTATACGGGGGGGTGGGTGGTGTTTCCGTCTTTGTTGCGGCTGTGGGTACCAGTGGAAACAGCGGAGCCGACCAGCCTGGCTCGGATGAGTCCGTGCCGCTCGGTGAGTCGCAGCAGACGGACTTTGGGGAAGTTCGCCAAGTACTTGTCCAGCTTCTCCTTGAGGTGTTCTGTGGGGTGGCAGCGTCCAGTTGTTTGTAGAAATAATAACTAACTGTCTCATTCAGCCCTTTGTCAATCCACTGCTGGATTGGTGGATGGATGCGGCCCCCCCCCTCCCCACCCCCTGGAATTGTCAATCGCGGGGGTTTATTTAGTCAGAGCCATGACCCCTTTCCCCCATGGCACCATTGGGAGCTGTTGTAGCAGCGACAATCCTACGCAATGACGCATCGGGCGATGCGTTGGCAGGTTGGCGTAGAAGCACAGACTGCGAATGCGTTTCCTAGACTGTTGCCCCACGAACGGAAAGACATCAGCTCTGGGCAAGATCTATTGCACGCGAAGATGCGAAAATAAAATAAATCTCAAGATTGGTTCAAGCATCTGCTGCGACACCCCCCCCCCCCCCCCCGCATGCTCGAGCGGCTTTAGGAGAGACACCGCGAACAAGTTTTAACCTCAAAACCGGTACAGAACGGTAAATACGTCAAGTGAACCAACTAGAGTGGCGCAAACAGCCCATCGATTAAATAGACGTCTGTGAAAAAGAGCTTCATAGCTCATGGGATTCCTCCAGAATTCATAAATATGCCGATTCTGATATGCCCCTATAGATTGCATGACTGTCGTTGAGCTTGTTTATCCAGGAAAGCCTCACTGCATCTCAAAGATCCTTGTTTCGCAGTAGGGGGCAATGTGGCTAAGTGTGTCATCCCAATCGAGTGATTTGCTACGAAACTGAAGAACCCGGAGGGAGCCCATGCAGAACTAGGGGATAACATGCACAAACAATCTCCACACACAGAGAGAGGCATCCGAGTCGGGAGATCGACCCCAGGCCCCTTCTTGCCGCGAGACACAAGGGTTACCACTGCCGCCGCTCCAACGACTGAACTATCGTCGCCATCGTCGGCCACGATTTATCCACTGCTGGATGAACGCCTGCCACGGCCGTAGGCAAGTAGTACGATGCCCTTGGCCACTTCCCTCCGAGTGGCATCTCGCGCGATGCGCCGTCTGTGCCGCGGCCGTCAAAGTAAAAAATATATTTAACACGTAGGCTTTCGCGACCAATATTATTCATAATAAAGGTTTTTGGGTTAGATCGCGTTAAATGTTGTGGATTCACTCTTCAACACACCGGTGGGCTAAAGTAGTGAACTATTTGTCTTTTGTCAACGTGACACTTTTTTTTCACTGATCAGCCGTGTCGGGTGGTGGAGGATTATGACGCATTAATAAATAACACGATCTAACCCAAAAACCTTTATTATGAATAAAAATATAAATAAATAAATAGAATACGCCAAGAGACTTCCTCTCTCTCTCAAACGAGCAGCGAGGCCAGTGCTCACCTCCCGATTACAGCCCCGAATGAGCGGTGGAAAAATTCCAGATTCTTACGACAGGGTGGGGGGAGGTGGGCGAGTGTATTCATAGGAAAATCTCAACTAAACTATTTGTTATTTTACCAGGAAAGGCCTCGCTCAGCTATATAGCTCTTTTTTCAGAAGCCACCTGGCCACAAATCAACGAAGTGGCTTATCACGTGAGAAATGTATAGCAGCCAAATACTCCAAAGGCGTGATGTTGATTCTAAATGTGGAGGTGAAAAGCCAGAGGACCCGGAAGAAAAATCCACGTGACCACGGGGAGAGAGAACAAGCAAACTCCAAATATACAGCAGCAGGCGTCAGGGTCGGAATCGAACCCACGACCTCCTGCATACCAGGCGAGGTAGTTAACATCTCCTAGCCACAGTGATGATGATGAGAGAGACACACAAACTCCAAATATACAGCAGCAGGCGTCAGGGTCGGAATCGAACCCACGACCTCCTGCATACCAGGCGAGGTAGTTAACATCTCCTAGCCACCGTGAGGGGTGGGGGAGGGTGGCGGTCACCCTTGGTGCTGAAGTCGTCCACCAGGATGAGCTCGCGGAGGAGGCCCGGCGGCGATCGGTTGAGGACGCTGTGCACGGAGCGCAGGAGGGTGCTCCACGCCTCGTCGATGAAGCAGATGATGACGCTGACCAGCGGCAGCGCGTCGGGCACCGTCTGATCCGCGCACCTGGACGGCAACGGAGCGCGGCGACGGAGCTCTCGTCAGACGTCACCGGTACCGCGAACGTTAAAGATACGGTAACGGTGCGGCCCCGCGAATGCCCTGCTCGCTCCACCGATAAGCACGGTCGGCGACGTACGGGGCGGAAGAGGTCCGACGTGCGTACGTACACACTGGCTGGCGGAATGGACTCCCCATCAGAGGGCGCTCCAGAGGGCCCCTCCAGAAGGTTACTTATTCGGCTGCTATAATTTTCCACGTGATGGTAAGCCACTTAGTTGAGCTACGATTTGGGGCCAGGTCGCTTCTGCAAAAGAAGTGCCAATAGCTAGTAAAATGTAAAAAAAAATCGTTTCGTAAAATCTGGATTACTCTGTCATGCTGGTCAATGGGTGGGAGGCACCCACACTTTAACCCACCACACATGGCCTGCCTATCAACTGTGACGTACCCACGTAAACTACTGGGCGGAGATGTGGAGGTATTTAATAAAAGGCCATGCCGGGAGATCGAACCGGTGACCTCCAGCCATTACACGGTGACAGCGTGCCCGTGTCACTTGTAGACTGGAGTAGGCATAGAGACGGGACCGCAGAGTAGCCACGGCTATGGCGAAGGGAGTACTGGACGTGGTGTGCCGGGTATAACGAAGGGCGAGCGTGGAGCGCCGTCGTGTCCTTGATCAATCCTGGCCAGCTCGCTCAAAAAACTCAATAAACAGAAACCCACAGGTACGGGGAAACATTTCTGACGTGGACAGAGAGGGGTGAAATTAAGCACCGCGGCTGTAGAATTCGCAGCGTCTGACCAGCAAAAGCATGACGGGATGTGGGGGTCTGCCCACGAGAAGGTACGAACCTCGATTGCCGAGAGTTTCGGACGATCTCTTACGGGGGCTCGGAGAAAACATGCCTTGGTGAGAAAAATGAAGCGAACCAGGTTTTTCGTGACATTTTTCCGTGATTAATATTTTCTTACCATTCCAATATCATTACCGCTGGCATGGCACACGGTAAAAGTTGGATCATACTAGCCCGTGGAGTTGGCGTGCGTTATTTTACTTATGCCCTCAACATTTCACTTTTCACACGGATGTCACAAGTTGATCGTGGAACTGGGCCGTTCATGTTGTGGCTAAACATCCTGAATTATCGTTGCAAAGGCACTTTTCAAATACCCTCTACGGGTAGAACCAGCGCTTAATCTCAATCTTGGTCAGGGACCCAGAAAACATCCCCACAAATGGCAAGGCACATCCAGTATATCTCTCGCTTATTGGCTGTGGCTACTAGTCACGTATCTCCTGCAGTCTACGGGCGATCGGAAACCATTCCTGCACCAGGCACATCACATCCAATTTTAGTGGTGCTGGCCACCCACACCCTCGTGTGCCGTGCCGGCCTTCATAGGTTCTCGCTAACAGCACTTGCCCCAACAGTCTGTCACAGGCCACACGGGGGATCTTTGTCTTTGTCCGTGAAAAGGCACAAACTCACGCTGGGGGTCTCGTGTCCGGCAGTGCCCGGTCCAGGGGGATCTGATCGCTGACGAACACGTTGAAGGCGCCCTCCCTCCACCTCCGGTCAGCGAGCTCCTGGTCTTCGGGCCGCACCGTCACGCCGTAGCCAAACTGGCCCGGTGCGTGGGGGTCCCGGGGAGACAGCGTGGCGTCCAGCGCCAGCAGGCGGTGCCGCGGCCCCTCCGGCACGGCGGCGCGGCCCGTGCCGTTGGCCGACGCCGCGTGTACGCGGTGGAGCGGGCCGGTGGCCGCCCGGCCTGGGCTGGCGGCGTCACGACTTGCCCGGTTGAGCTCCGGCAAACGCGAATCGTTCCTCCGCCGCGGCGGAGCGGTAAGCGACCTTTCGACGGCTTCGTTCGTTTGGCGGGTCCAGCGTGCGAGCGGCGGGGTGGCGATTTTCATATTTGCGGAAAGCTTTGCCGTCGCGGTCGCGGTCAAGCCACGAGCAACGCCGGCGTCCTGCGTGCGGTTGGCCGTCAACACGCCGGCTGCGTCGGCGGATTTATTGGCGACACCGTGCGCTTTTGACACATCGCGTGACTTGACCCCCCCATCGCCCAGTGCGTCAATAATGACCTTTGACGTCGTGCGCCCAATTCGACTTCCTCCGACGCCGCCTCCGTCCGCAATTTCCCCCGCCGACTTCGTTTCCTTCGCCGCTCCGTTCGCGACGCGCTCCGGCCGACCTCCGTCGGCCTCGTGCCCGGCCGCCACCGGCGAAGTCGCGTTCGCCGGAGCCTCGCCCCGTCGGGCGTCGACGGCCGCCGCGGCTCGCGGGATCGGAGCCCCCCGTGGCCCTTCCGGCCTCGCCGTCTCCACCGGCGGGGCGGATCGCGCCCCCGCCGCGCGGACCTCCGCCGCCTTCGCGCCCGCGTCCGGAAGCGGCGAGCCCGGGCCTAGGCCCAGGCCCGGGCCCGGGCCTAGGCCCGGGCCCGGGCTCGCGCGGAACGACGGCCGTGGGGGCGCGGCGCTCGCGGCGGGCGCCGCGGCGCCGACGCCGGGCCGCCCCGCCGCGTTCTCGTTCGCGCCGGCACGCTGGCCGACGACGAACCTCCGCTTGTCCACTTTCGCCGCCGCGGGAGGCTCGCGAGGGCGGCTCGCGTTTCCCTTGGCGGGGTCGGGGGCCCCCCTCCGCCGGCCGAAGCGCTTGTCGACCAAGTTGGGCCGCGGGTCGTCCGCACCGGGCCCGGGGGCGGCCCGCGTCGAGGCGGCGCCCCCCGCGGCCCGGAGGAAGCCGAAGCGCGGGTGGCGCCTGGCGCGCTCGCCCAGGGCGTCCCGGTCCCCCAGGATCCTCTTCTCCGGCTTGGAATACTCGGAGCCGGCGAAGGAGACGCGCAGCGCGGCCATGTCGAACAGCAGCCACAGCACGGAGGCCGCGACCACCAAGGCGAGCACGCGGCCGCTGCCCCGGCAGAGGCGGCGCAGGCGGCCGCTCAGGCGCACCGCCATGAGGAGGAGATCGTCGCGGCGCCCCTCCCCCGCCCACACCGCCGCTCGGCCCCGCTCGCGCCTCCTCCAGCCGTCTCACGAACCTGAGGGACGGAGGGAGTGGGGGAAGAGAGGGAGGGCAGATTGAGGCAGCACGGAGAAGAGGGGAAGCAGACAAACCCGCAGCGTGACCCCTGTTTAAAAGGAGGCCTTGCAATAGCTGCACGGCCAACGGTGAAAAGACTTTGAACGGCAAGCAAATCTGCTTCTGCCTGCCACGCATTTTGTTCCGGCTCTCACCCGCCGCGTGCATGAGGATAGGCTGTGACGCCCATCGCTAAATTGTATTGTGATGACTTAAAAAGGTGGGGGGGGGGCTTAGCTCCCTCCCCCCCCCCCCCCATTGCTATAAGGAGCTGGGTGGCACGTGAGCCGGCAGCACAGGGAGGGTGGTGATGGGCGGTGCTGTTGGGTCACGGTGCGTGAGCGTTGCTGACTAGTGCAGGATCTGCGTTGTGAAGCTAAACGCACCGCAGCGTTATTTTTTTTTCCTCCGCTCCGAAGGGCTGTTTCCGCGAAAAAAAAAACAGAGCTTTTGTTTTCTTTTCGTTTAAGGCCGTGTGAATAATATCCGCGGTGATGGGATCCGTTCTACTCGAAGTTTCTTTATTTCATCGCAGTATTTTAGGTCACGTCAACTTTTAACATCATCAGTCATGATCAATCCACTGTTGGATCAAAGGCCCTCCCCTTAAGCCATCACCACAATCTCTCATGAGCCTGCATTTTAACAAACACGGTTAAAATGATATTTGTATACACACACACATCATCATTATTATATTAAATTCTACATAACCCCCAACTCACAGTGGCGATATGTTATGGGTTCGATCCCCACCCTGACACCTGATTTGGAGTTTGCATGTCTCTCTCCCCGAGGTCGTGCGGATTTTTTTCCAGGTCCTTCCGTTTTTTTTTGCCTCCACATTTAAAATCAACATCGCGCATTCATAGCATTTGGCTGCTAGATATTTCCACGCGACAAGCCACTTCGTTGAGCTATCATTTGTGGCCAGGTCACTTCTGAAAAAGAGCTTTACAGCTCAGTGGGCCTTACCTGGTAAAATAACAAAAAATAGCCCTTGATAGTTTTTAAACCCACCAGCGTAGCCTTTCCAACAGTTGAAAGTCCTTTCTACGCAGGGCCAACAGGTTCAGCCACACCTGTGTTTACCTGTGACTCACGGCGGAGGGGAGGGGCAAATGCGGTCGCACCACGTCTAACTCTCGGCAACCAGATCTTATCCAAACACGCGGGCGAAAATCAGGAGAAAAAAAACTCCTCTCGCTACATTCGTCATCGTTACCCGCCTAATAATGAGAGCGTAAATAAGTCGCCGTTTCGGCTCGTGGCCCTCATACAGAGCAGAGAGGGCAGCACTTGACTGTGGACAAGGTCGCCCCAGCTTGGTCGAAGGGATGCAGGTCACACACCGCGGGTTGCTCTGAGAAGGTTGACATTTAAAACGCGTGAACAGTTTTGCGCGCGTGCAGAGCGCTTAAATCGCTCAAGATCTCACCAGATCTCAGTAGCCAATCAGGGAGTTGAGCGAGCCTGGCTAGTACTCGAGTTTGGAGTGAATCCCACGAGACGAGGCAGGGCAGCCAGGCTAGGGTGTGGGCAGCAGAGAGGGCAGTGGAGCAACCAACGACGTTGTAGTCGACTTCAATGCTCCCGAGGTTCACGCTCGTGGTCTTCGCCAACCCGCACTGACCAGCGCGGTGAAGTATGGTCGAGCAACTCCCGCAGACTCTTCGCGGCGTGTAAGAGGCACTCATCCAGCGGTGGATTGACACAAAGAGCCGTTGCACGTGCACAGAATGGCAGGTTGCCCTTGCTTTAGGCGGGTTCGGTTTGTGAGAATTCACGTACACGTGGCCAAACTGTTTATACCAAAAAAAAAAGAAATTAATTTAAAGTATGCGGTTTGAATTGACTCATGTGCGGCTATGCGGTCGGACGTGGGACAACATTGTGTACGTACTGTGTGTGTGCTGTGTGTACCGTGTGTGTACCCTGTGTGTGTGCTGTATGTGTGCTGTGTGTACCGTGTGTGTACCCTGTGTGTGTGCTGTGTGTGCTACTCGGCAGGCAGCTGTCTCCTCGTGCGGTTTCGCTTTGTGATTATTATTTTTTAGAAACGTGCCTTTTAGAGTATTTGGCTGCAATAAATGTCCACGCGACGAGCCACTTCGTTGAGCTGTCATTTGTGGCCGGGTCGCTTCTGAAAAAGAGCTACAGCATAGCTCAGTGGGCCTTACCTGGTAAAATAAAAAAAAAGTTTAGTTGATCGTTTTAACCTTTATTTTCGAATGCATCTTCCGCATAAAGCGAGTACAAACTGTGCTGTGTTTTTGTTTTAATGTAAACAGGAAACAGAGTCGAGTCGACAGGACACGAGTCCCAAACAACTGCAGGTGAACACGTGTCAACTGCCTGCAGGTGAACACGTGTCAACTGCCTGCAGGTTGAACACGTGTCAACTGCAGGTGGAACACGTGTCAACTGCAGGTGAACACGTGTCAACTGCAGGTGAACACGTGTCAACTGCACGTGAGCACGTGTCAACTGCTTGCAGGTGGACACGTGTCAACTGCCTGCAGGTGGAACACGTGTCAACTGCAGGTGAACACGTGTCAACTGCAGGTGAACACGTGTCAACTGCAGGTGAACACGTGTCAACTGCACGTGAGCACGTGTCAACTGCCTGCAGGTGGACACGTGTCAACTGCCTGCAAGTGGAACACGTGCAAACTGCAGGTGGACCACGTGCGAACTGCAGGTGGAACACGTGCAAACTGCAGGTGGAACACGTGCAAACTGCAGGTGGAACACGTGTCAACTGCAGATGGAACACGTGTCAACTGCAGATGGAACACGTGTCAACTGCCTGCAGGTGGAACACGTGCGAACTGCAGGTGAACACGTGTCAACTGCCTGCAGATGGAACACCTGCAAACTGCAGGTGAACACGTGTCGACTGCCTGCAGGTGAACACGTGTCAACTGCCTGCAGGTGGGCACGTGTAAACTGCCTGCAGGTGGAACACGTGTCAACTGCCTGCAGGTAAACACGTGTCAACTGCAGGTGGAACACGTGCGAACTCTCTGTGAACACGTTTCCGTTTGTTTAGCAGCCACGTCGCTCACTTCACTTTACTCTTGATGCGAAACGACGCCGCCTCCGTTCACGTCGGGTGGAGCGATGAACGAGTTTCTCTCTCCGCCTCCCCTCTCTCTCTCTGTGCCATGACCTCGCCAACTTCGCCTGTGCTCAGGCGAAGATGGCGGTGTACAGAACGAGGAAAAAAATGCTGCAAGGTGACACTGACGGCTGCTCTGTGCTGCTTCCAGTGTTCAGAGACTTGCTTAAAGCGCGGCTCCGCCTGGAGCACGCCATGTACCACACACGTGCCGGTGATGTGCACGTCTTGTTCGAACGCTGGGGAGAAGATGCCCCTCTCTGTACCAGCGTGGACGGCACCCCACGTATTCACCTCCTGAAGCGCTCGCTCGTCACCGTGGCGTGCGCGATGATCATCACCATCACCACCACCACCACGTGACTATTCTTTCATGTTGTGCGCAGTGCATTTAGCGCCACAGCACGTGGATTTATAGCGTTTATTTGTGTTGCTGGTGACTTTGCGTGTTTCATATCGGAATCGCCTCCAGTGCTGTTGCTGCTGGCGGCAATAAAATATTTGTTTTTAAGTCTGTGTCTGCCGCTGCTGCTGCTGCTGCTGGGCTGGCGTCACGGGCTCACCCGCAATGACACGTGGTGGGCCCGGCGGCTCTGCCAGATGCTGCAAATGAAACCCAGCCGGGCCGGTTCCCCTGGTTGTTGGAGGATGCGAGGAGACAGGGAGAGAAGGAGGAGGGGTGGAGGGAGAGCGCGCCAGAGACAGAGAGAGAGAGTTGATGGGAGATTTCGAGTAGATGGATGGATGCAGCAGCTAGATGCCATGTGTCCACGTTCACAATGTTTGGTTATACCAGGTGAGAAATTCGTAGAGACCACTCCCCTACACTCATTTACGAGAGTGTGCCAGGCCATCGTAAAATGTGAAAACGCAAAGAAACGTTCAATAAATGTACAACGATGAATAATTCAGGGCAAACGCGGTGGGACCATGTGAAATAGGTACATTGAGGAGAGCAAAGGAGATTGCAAGGGATATCGGGGACAGGAGGTTGTGGATTGTCGGCGATCGGATCCGAATACTCCGGGAGACGCTCAACACTCCTCTCAACTGCACGCGGTTACATTTCAAAAATCCGCAGCAGCGTTTTAATACAAAAATATCCTCCCGCCGTAGCCTCAGCAAACTTTTTCTGGCGAGTGCTGTCCGCGAAGAACCTTCTGAAGGCCGGCACTGTGGCACACGATGGGGTGGGTGGTCAACACCATCGTAAAATGTGAAAACGCAAAGAAACGTTCAATAAATGTACAACGATGAATAATTCAGGGCAAACGCGGTGGGACCATGTGAAATAGGTACATTGAGGAGAGCAAAGGAGATTGCAAGGGATATCGGGGACAGGAGGTTGTGGATTGTCGGTGATCGGATCCGAATACTCCGGGAGACGCTCAACACTCCTCTCAACTGCACGCGGTTACATTTCAAAAATCCGCAGCAGAGTTTTAATACAAAAATATCCTCCCGCCGTAGCCTCAGCAGACTTTTTCTGGCGAGTGCTGTCCGTGAAGAACCTTCTGAAGGCCGGCACTGTGACACACAATGGGGTGGGTGGTCAACACCGCATCAGGTACTCATTTGAGGCCGAGTCGACCTAGGCGAGATCCAGGGCCGGTTCAGACAATCGTCACTGGACGCGCACACACACACACAGCGCGCTAACCACACACACACAGCGCGTTAACCACACGCACATCACGTTAACCACACACACACAGCGCGCTAACCACACACACACACAGCGCGTTAACCACACACACACAGCGCGTTAACCACACACACACACACAGCGCGTTAACCACACACACACACAGCGCGTTAACCACACACACACATCACGCTAACCACACACACACAGCGCGCTAACCACACACACAGCGCGTTAATCACACACACCGCGCGTTAACCACACACACCGCGCGTTAACCACACACACACAGCGCGTTAACCACACACACACAGCGCGCTAACCACACACACCGCGCTGACCACACACACACACAGCGCGCTAACCACACACACACACCACACACACACAGCGCGCTAACCACACACACACACCACACACAGCGCGCTAACCACACACACACCACACACACACACAGCGTGACTGTGGGGGTGGCGTTACAAGCGGTTGCTGGAAGAACACGTGGCGAGGCGAGGCGACTGATAACAAACTCTCGGATGCCGCTCGTCGCTCACGCGAGAATCCTCACCGCCCCCCCCCCCCATCATCAACCACGCATCCCCGACCCCGTGGCATCGCTATCAGTTGACGCAGCATCACCCCTCGCCACCATCATCACCATCGCCGTCGTCAAGTACGCAGAGCTAGTGCTGCCGCTGTCACGCGTTCACTCCACGTCCCACAGAGCGAGCGAGGAGAGACACATCGGTTTTGAGAGAGACATCGGTTTTGAGAGCGAGGAGAGAGAGAGAGACGTCGGTTTTGAGAGAGACACATCAGCACCGGGGAATGTGGAGACTCACGCTGACCGAGCGGGTATTCTCGTGGGACGCGAGCCCTCCGCCGCTGATGCTGCTGATGATGATGCCAATGGTGTTGATACCACAACCACCACGTAACTTCTGCATGCGTGGCGCTGCGTTTCCCATTCGCAGCCTCGCCCCTCTTTCCAAGCACGCTCCACCCCTCCTCGGCCCAACTCTCTCGCGAAGCTCCTTCTCTCTCCCCCTCTACAACACCCCCCACACACACACTCCAAACACACACGCTCCACACACACACCACACACACACACCACACACACCACACACACTCCACACACACACACTCCACACACACACACACTCCACACACACCACACACACACACTCCACACACTACACACACACACTCCACACACACACTCCACATACACTACACACACACTCCACATACACTCCACACACACACTCCACACACACACACTACACACACACTCCACACACACACACTCCACACACACGACACACACACACACTCCACACACACTCCACACACACACACTCCACACACACTCCACACACACACACTCCACACACACTCCACACACGCCACACACACACACGCCACACACACACACACGCCACACACACACACACTCCACACACACACACGCCACACACCACACACACACACACGCCACACACACACACGCCACACACACGCCACACACACACACGCCACACACGCCACACACACACACGCCACACACACACACGCCACACACACACACGCCACACACACACACGCCACACACACACACGCCACACACACACACGCCACACACACTCCACACACACACACTCCCTACTGCTCCTTCAGGGCTACTCCCCCCACTCTCACGACCCGGATCGGGGCAGCTCCCCCTTGGGAGTGATGATGTTGATGATGATGATGTTGATGATAACCCCCCAACCAGCTCTCTCTCGACTCTGGGGCCCCGTGTGTCCCTCGGACTCATGATCGCACGTGTATGCACGTATATGTATATACGTGTATGTACGCGGACCTTCTTTCGCACCGTACGTAGCCAACGCGTGCGAAGCGGAGGTGCAGGGGGAATGACAACACGCACTGAACGCAAGACGCAGATAATACTGCGTGTCCCGGATTATAAGACGCACCCCCCCCCCCCGCACTTGAAAGTGGGAGTTGGATGTGGGTGTACAGTATACGTAACCACATTTCTATGACTTTAATGTCGACGAAATACATATTTGAAAGAAAATGCTGCAGATGAGAGGGGGGAGGTAGGCGATGTGCCTGTGGTAATTTAAGCATCTTACATTGACAATTTTACATGAACGCTCTGTAAGTATTGCGAATGTGCTGTGTGTGTGTGTTGCTATGGTTTTAATTAACATGACATAGCACGCTGTGCTTAGTGTGCAGTTTGGACTCGAGCCCGAACTTTCCCCGAATGCGCCACCCCAAATACGTGGACTCGCCACCATCTCCCCTCTCATTTCACTACTCCACTCCACTCACTCTCCCCTCTCATCTCACTCTACTCCACTCCACTCACTCTCTCATCTCACTCTACTCCCCTCCACTCACTCTCCCCTCTCATCTCACTACTCCCCTCCACTCTGCCCTCTCATCTTACTCTACTCCACTCCACTCACTCTCCCCTCTCATCTCACTCTACTCCACTCCACTCACTCTCTCATCTCACTCTACTCCACTCACTCTCCCCTCTCATCTTACTCTACTCCACTCCACTCACTCTCCCCTCTCATCTCACTCTACTCTACTCCACTCACTCTCCCCTCTCATCTCACTACTCCCCTCCACTCACTCTGCCCTCTCATCTCACTCTACCCCACTCCACTCACTCTCCCCTCTCATCTCACTCTACTAGACTCCACTCACTCTCCCCTCTCATCTCACTCTACTCCACTCACTCTCCCCTCTCATCTCACTACTCCACTCCACTCACTCTCCCCTCTCATCTCACTCTATTCCCCTCCACTCACTCTCCCCTCTCATCTCACTCTACTCCACTCACTCTCCCCTCTCATTTCACTACTCCACTCCACTCACTCTCCCCTCTCATCTCACTCTACTCCACTCCACTCACTCTCCCCTCTCATCTCACTCCCCTCCACTCACTCTCCCCTCTCATCTCACTCTACTCTACTCCACTCACTCTCTCATCTCACTCCCCTCCACTCCACTCACTCTCCCTTCTCATCTCACTCCACTCCACTCACTCTCCCCTCTCATCTCACTCTACTCCCCTCCACTCACTCTCCCCTCTCATCTCACTACTCCCCTCCACTCACTCTCCCCTCTCATCTCACTCTACTCCACTCCACTCACTCTCCCCTCTCATCTCACTCCACTCCACTCACTCTCCCCTCTCATCTCACTCCGCTCCACTCCACTCACTCTCCCCTCTCATCTCACTCTACTCTACTCCACTCACTCTCTCATCTCACTCCCCTCCACTCCACTCACTCTCCCTTCTCATCTCACTCCACTCCACTCACTCTCCCCTCTCATCTCACTCTACTCCCCTCCACTCACTCTCCCCTCTCATCTCACTACTCCCCTCCACTCACTCTCTCCTCTCATCTCACTCTACTCCCCTCCACTCACTCTCCCCTCTCATCTCACTCTACTCCCCTCCACTCACTCTCCCCTCTCATCTCATTCTACTCCCCTCCACTCACTCTCCCCTCTCATCTCACTCCCCTCCACTCACTCTCCCCTCTCATCTCACTCTACTCCCCTCCACTCACTCTCTCATCTCACTCTACTCCCCTCCACTCACTCTACTCCCCTCCACTCACTCTACTCCCCTCCACTCACTCTACTCCCCTCCACTCACTCTACTCCCCTCCACTCACTCTACTCCACTCACTCTACTCCCCTCCACTCACTCTACTCCACTCACTCTACTCCCCTCCACTCACTCTACTCCCCTCCACTCACTCTACTCCACTCACTCTACTCCCCTCCACTCACTCTACTCCACTCACTCTACTCCCCTCCACTCACTCTCCCCTCTCATCTCACTCTGCTCCCCACCACTCACTCTCTCATCTCACTCTATCTCCTCCACTCACTCTCTCATCTCACTCTACTCCCCCCTCTCATCTCACTACTCCCCTCCACTCACTCTCCTACCTCTCAGTGCCCATCTCACTGCACCCCCCCCCCTCCACGCACTCTCCCTTCCCCCCAGACTCAAGAACTTAGCTTCCCCCCTCTGCCTCTGACTCACTGCCTCCTTCGCTCTCCGCGATATTCAAACTTCCACTGCCGGACGAAGGCCCTCCTCAAGCCATCGTCATCTCTTTAACGGACCGCGCGATGTAACAAACAAACAACAAAAAAACATCCGTCTCGCTGCATGCCGTGCACGAGCAGCTGATGCCATGGGCTCCTCCGCGTGGCGACGTCTCTCTAGAGCGTGGCGACGTCTCTCTAGAGCGTGGCGACGTCCCTCTAGAGCGTGGCGACGTCCCTCTAGAGCGTGGCGACGTCCCTCTAGAGCGTGGCGACGTCCCTCTAGAGCGTGGCGACGTCCCTCTAGAGCGTGGCGACGTCTCTCTATAGCGTGGCGACGTCTCTCTAGAGCGTGGCGACGTCCCTCTAGAGCGTGGCGACGTCCCTCTAGAGCGTGGCGACGTCTCTCTAGAGCGTGGCGACGTCCCTCTAGAGCGTGGCGACGTCTCTCTAGAGCGTGGCGACGTCTCTCTAGAGCGTGGCGACGTCCCTCCAGAGCGTGGCGACGTCTCTCCAGAGCGTGGCGACGTATCTCTAGAGCGTGGCGACGTCCCTCTAGAGCGTGGCGACGTCTCTTTTGAGCGTGGCGACGTCTCTCTAGAGCGTGGCGACGTCCCTCTAGAGCGTGGCGACGTCTCTCTAGAGCGTGGCGACGTCTCTCTAGAGCGTGGCGACGTCCCTCCAGAGCGTGGCGACGTCTCTCTAGAGCGTGGCGACGTATCTCTAGAGCGTGGCGACGTCCCTCTAGAGCGTGGCGACGTCTCTTTTGAGCGTGGCGACGTCTCTCTAGAGCGTGGCGACGTCTCTCTAGAGCGTGGCGACGTCCCTCTAGAGCGTGGCGACGTCCCTCTAGAGCGTGGCGACGTCCCTCTAGAGCGTGGCGACGTCTCTCTAGAGCGTGGCGACGTCCCTCTAGAGCGTGGCGACGTCTCTCTAGAGCGTGGCGACGTCTCTCTAGAGCGTGGCGACGTCTCTCTAGAGCGTGGCGACGTCTCTCTAGAGCGTGGCGACGTCTCTCTAGAGCGTGGCGACGTATCTCTAGAGCGTGGCGACGTCCCTCTAGAGCGTGGCGACGTCTCTCTAGAGCGTGGCGACGTCTCTCTAGAGCGTGGCGACGTTCCTCCAGAGCGTGGCGACGTCTCTCTAGAGCGTGGCGACGTCTCTCTAGAGCGTGGCGACGTCCCTCTAGAGCGTGGCGACGTCTCTCTAGAGCGTGGCGACGTCTCTCTAGAGCGTGGCGACGTCTCTCTAGAGCGTGGCGACGTCTCTCTAGAGCGTGGCGACGTCCCTCTAGAGCGTGGCGACGTCTCTCTAGAGCGTGGCGACGTTCCTCCAGAGCGTGGCGACGTCTCTCTAGAGCGTGGCGACGTCTCTCTAGAGCGTGGCGACGTCTCTCTAGAGCGTGGCGACGTTCCTCCAGAGCGTGGCGACGTCTCTCTAGAGCGTGACGACGTCCCTCTAGAGCGTGGCGACGTCCCTCTAGAGCGTGGCGACGTCCCTCTAGAGCGTGACAACGTCTCTCTAGAGCGTGGCGACGTCCCTCTAGAGCGTGGCGACGTCTCTCTAGAGCGTGGCGACGTCCCTCTAGAGCGTGGCGACGTCCCTCTAGAGCGTGGCGACGTCCCTCCAGAGCGTGGCGACGTCCCTCTACAGCGTGGCGACGTCTCTCTAGAGCGTGGCGACGTCTCTTTTGAGCGTGGCGACGTCTCTCTAGAGCGTGGCGACGTCTCTCTAGAGCGTGGCGACGTTCCTCCAGAGCGTGGCGACGTCTCTCTAGAGCGTGGCGACGTCTCTCTAGAGCGTGGCGACGTCGCTCTAGAGCGTGGCGACGTCTCTCTAGAGCGTGGCGACGTCTCTCTAGAGCGTGGCGACGTCTCTCTAGAGCGTGGCGACGTCTCTCTAGAGCGTGGCGACGTCCCTCTAGAGCGTGGCGAC